TGCCAGGTAATGATGGGCTGTAAAATCACTCTCGACAGATGAATTAGGTGAAAAATGTGTGCTGCCTAAGGCCAGGGGGACATCTCTAAAATTTTGAACTACACTATACAGACAGAAGTATTTTGACACACCTTCTATTTTATTGAGTTCAGGTGGTTCAGCAACACCCATTACTAACAGGTGGATACATTTAAGCACATAGCCTTGCAGTCTCCATAAACAAACACTGGCAGTAGAGGGTCGAACTGATGACCTCAGTGACTGTAAACATGGCACTGTCATAGGACGCCACCTCTGCCACAAGTCAGTTTGTGACATTTCTGTCCTGCTAGATCTGGCCCCTGTCAACTGTAAGTGCTATCATTGTGAAATGGAAGCACCTCAGAGCAAGAACAGCTCAGCCTTGAAGTTGTAGACCACGTAAACTCAAAGAGCGGGACCACCGAGTGCTGAAGCGCACAGTGCCGATCCCCTGTTGAATCACTCAGAGCTCCAAATTGCCTCTGGAAGCAACATCAGCAAAAGAGCTGCACTTTAGGAGCTTCATGAAATGGGTTTCCATGGCTGAGCAGCTGCACACAAACCTAAGATCACTATACACAATGCCAAGCATCGGATGGAGTGGAGTAAAGCACCGCCGCTGGACTCTGGAGCAGTGGAAACGCATTCTGTAGAGTGACAACTCAGCTTCTCTATCTGTCAGTCTGATGTTGAGTCTGGGTTTGGCGAATGCCAGGAGAACGTTACCCACCTCACTGCACTGTGCCAGCTGTAAAGTTTGGTGGAGGAGGGATGATGATATGGGGTTGTTTTTCAGGGGTCAGTCTAGAACCCTTAATTCCAGGGAAGGGAAATCTTAATGCTTCAGCACCAAGACATTTTGGACAATTGTACGATTCCAACTTTGTGGGAACAGTTTGAGGAAGAACCTTTTCTGTTCCAGCATTACTGAGCCCCAGTGCACAAAGCAGCTCCATAAAGGCCTGACTGGGTGAGTTTGGTGTGGAATAACTTGACTGGCCCTCACAGAGCCCTGACCTCAACCCCATCCAACACCTTTGGGATGAACTAGAACAGAGATTGTGAGCCAGACCCTCTCGTCCAACATCAGTGTCTGACCTCACAAATGCTCTTCTGGATGAATGGACAAAAATTCCCACAGACTCTCTCCAACATCTTGTAGAAAGCTTCCCAGAAGAGTGGAAGCTGTTAGAGCTGCAAAGGGGGACCAACTCCATATTAATGCCTATGGATTTAGAATGGGACGTCATAAAAGCTCCTGTAGGTGTGATGTGTAGGTGTCCCAATACAATATAAAACAGGACTCACTGAACCAAACTTTGTGGTTTGTCCCTCCTCGGTCTACTGTACAGTAGGTATTTACCACTGCTGACCAAGAAGCGCCACACAAGCCTTGCCGTTTCAGAGATGCTCCTACAGAGTCCTCTGACCATAAAGATTTAGCTCTTGTCAGAGCTGCTCTGGTCTTCACACCTGCCTATTTCTGCTGCATCCAACATGTCGACTACAAGAACCGACTCGCTTAACATCTAATAAATCACAGGCCTTGACATGCACAAGATAATAAAAGTTATTGGCTTCATTTATGAGCTCAGCATTGAATATAATTAGCAAGGGATGGAAACATTATACAAGCGAAAGTATGAGAATTTAGTGAAAGACTCAGGTAAAAGCTACAAAATCAAAAGTCAAAAATATTCAGTTATAACGTAATTACACTATTTTTAAACAAAGAAAAATGTAATTACGTTATAACTGAAGTTTGAGGGGAGGAACATGCCTGTAACCCCTCCTTCTTCCAATCTAACACCCTATAAATTTACATCCTCACCTTCTGTTCCCGTGACGAAGTGTTTGCAATCCCCGCCGCCACCCCGTCTCCTCCCTGTTCCTCAGTCCTACATCAGTCCTGCTACAGCTATGAGGGGGTCCTGCGTTCCAGCTACAGGCAGAGGCTGCCCAGAGCTCCAGCCCAAGTTTTCCCCCCTCCCTCAATCAGTTTTCCCTCATAGTGCCACCATGTACAGGGTGTCTTAAAAGTAAGGAACGACCCATATAAATGAAAACGTTTTGGCACTCGGTGATCCAATTTTAGACACAATACGAGGGGAAAGGGGGAAGCCTGTTAAGCCATGTCACCAACATGGAACATTTCCTGATTTCTAAATTGGATCACCATCTGCCAAACCACTCTCATTTTGAGACACACTGCATAGAAGCACACTTAAAAATGGTTCTTTAAGGGTTCTTTAGTAAAAAAAAAGTCCTATATAGAACCACGAACACTCAAAGAACCCTTTGCATGATTAAAGCGTTCTTTGAATCGTGAAATGGCTCTTTGGATTGGTGGAGAATGTGTTGAATATGGTTCTATATAGAACCTTTTTGAAAAGGTTCTTCATAATAATCTTCTATTATTACAAGCTTCAATAGAAGACAATGGAAGAACCCTTTTTGGTGCTATACAGAACCTTTTCAAAAAGGTTCTATATAGAACCATATTCAACACATTCTCCAACCATCATTTTTATCATAAACATGGATTCAAGAATCCTTGCTTAAAATTGGCCGACATTCATGTCAGTTCTCAAATATCCAACATATGTCTGCACTGAACAATTTCCAAGCCAGTTTCCTTTAGTACAATAACAATTGTACTCCTCTGCTCACGTCTCCTGTGTGCTGCAGGAGTTTAGCTACAGATGCTACCAATCAGTCAGAGCTGTAGTAACAAAGAGAGACGGGACTTTGCAAGAGAAAAACTGAAAAAGTGAAAAATCTCCTGGTCTTTGAGATTTGAAAGGAGTATTTAAAGGTCTAAGTCAGGGGTGCCCATTCCTGGTCCTGGAGATCTACCACCCTGGAGATTTCTGATCCAACCTACCTTGCTATAATCGTCAGATGCTCCTGGAGGCCTTCATCACCTGGATCAGGCGTGTTTGATTAGGGTTGGAGCAAAACTCTGCAGGGTGGTAGATCTCCAGGACCAAGATTGGGCAGCCGTGATCTAAATGAAATTTTCTCCTGAAAATATAAAATTTGTAAAGTGTATAAAATTTCAAGTACTCAGTTTCAGTAATGCTCAACTAAAGCTTAAAACTTCCAGAAAGTAAAATAACAAAGTACCCCCGCTTATTAGTCATGTAGAATTAAAAAGTAAACAGATCTAGAAGTGTTGACTCAAGGCATTCAGGCTTTGTTCTCATCTCAAGTTGTTTTGTTTTCAGTTAACTGTATTATCTGACCGCAGATCATATTAGTCCTCGGTGACTTTACGGTTTGGTATTTTGTCTAAGGAAGGTGTGTCTTCTGTCTGCTCCGTTGTGTCTGATCAGTTGTCGTTTTCATTTTAGCCAGAAACCAGATTCCTGGCTTATCACATTTCCTTACAGTTTCATTCTAGGCTGAAACAGCACAGCCTTCCAGTAACCGTACAACACCCACAGCTGCACAGCAGGAGTTACTTCAGCACATTTACCTCACCTGATTGATCATTTTACATGAGAAATTCTGTAATATAACTTACGGAAAAAAAATACACGGCTATGTATGTAAGATACGTTTGAAATACATTATTTCAGTTCAAAATGTATTCCAAGCACTAAAGTACATAAACAAAATACATTTCCATACTTTTCAAACGAATTTGTAAAGTATGAATCTGTATATATATATATATATATTTATATTTGTATTTATATATCCTTGTATATATATATATGTATTTATATATCCTTCTCTGTCCAGAGACTGGACACTTAAACAATGTTTTGTTATGGTACATGTTCTCTGCTGCGTACTAAATATGATTTTTTTTGCTTTTGTTTACTGGGAAACATTTAATATTCAGTGTCCAGTATACTGGACAGTTGGAATTGTTTGCATGAAAGTTTTTGAAAAATGAACATGTTTATCATCACCAACATCACAAGACACAAAGTAAGCACTTAACTTTTTATGTGTTTACTGGATGTTCAGCTGCATCATCATCAAGCTGTTTCTGAACTCTTGTAAGAACCTGGACTTCTTCATGAATGGCCCTTAAGTATTACATAGCTTTTATAATAAGCTGTATATCCTAATAGCAAACAAAGAGCCTTTTAAGACAAAGTAAACTGATTTTGGTCACTGACAACAAAAATTCCCAAAACATTACATAAGCTATTTTACATATTACATAGGCTATATTAGTCCAAAATACCTTTTCTGTGTTTCAGAAACAAAGGAAATCTTCAGTTTTTGTTTGGGTCTGCTATCAGAATAAACTTGTTCATTTTTGATATTCACAATGAACTTTTTTCAAAATCTTGCAGATTTCATGTGCCTAATTCCAGTGTCCAGTATACTGGACAATGAAATCCATTGAAATCACTAAAAAAAAGCCCCAATATTATGCCCAAATTTACATAACAGCTACTGTAAATCTTGAAAAAAACACATCAGATTTTAATATTAATTTTAGATTTAAAATAAACAAAAATCTTGTGTGATTGTGTTTTGTAATGCCAGAGTCTATTATACTAATTAAAACATAACTCACTACAGTCCAAATGTCGCCAGGACATTCAACATTATCTCAAAACTCGTGTTTGTAGAAATAAATATCTCCTATTTCCTTTTTGATCTTTCGTAAGAGAGACGTTCTACAAGCACATTCACAAAAACCATTTCTGAAATAAATACAGGATCATTCAGAAACAATATTTTTCGGAGGCGGTGAGCGTCCATCTCACCGGCTGCCATGTTTGCATACATGTCAAATGTTAGCAACATTAGAATAAAAAGACTGAGTTCTGTAAAAACACATTAAGGTAAGCGTGGTGACGTACCTGCTTCTACAGAGCTGGAATAAGATGCTGAGTATGCTGAACGTTCGAAATGAGGAGGATGTTTATTTTCCGTATGTTGAGGTGCAACTGAAATCAGAATCGTCTAACGTCCCAACAAAACAACACCCACATATTAACAACAACACATACTTTAGTATTTTAAGAGTTTGGTCTTCCCTTTATTAAGCATTGCTTTGGATCGAATGCTATACAGAATCAAACATCTGAAACAGTAAAAACATTAGTAGTGCTGGAATTTAGCTCAAGAAGTAGGAAAGGTCATGTATTAAAACTGGAAACCCTAAAATTCAAAATCCCACTGTATTGCATAGTGTCATTCTATACATATATATATATATATATATATATATAAAGTTTCTGATAAGAAAAAAAAACAAAAAAAAACACAAGGCAGTTGCTTTAGCAACACAAAAACATCATCAGTCCACATTTGTACCAGTCAACCACACAATCCATACAGCATCTGAGGACAGTAAGAGCACTTTGGAGATATGTTTGAAGTAATACAAAGCAAATGAGATGGGAATGACTTTGGCTGAACTGGGACCAGTGTGGGACACTTAATGGTAGACATTTAATACATTTCTAAAAATATACATGCACTTTTACTACACAAAGCTCTAACTACTGATAGTGTTATTCTTTGCAAGTAAATAGAACAACACTCAATAGCAAGAATGAGGCCTATACAAACAAACACAGCCCTCATAAGGTGACTGAGATACAGCCGTTACAGTAAATTGGTAAGTATGTGTTCTCTATCAGGTAATCCTCGAGCGCCCTGCCTGGATCGGAGATTTGCACTACAAAATCACAGTTTCTGGCTGCTTAAAACTGATCCAGGCTGAGCGATGTACAAAAATTAAAGGCCTAAGCTGGTGTTAAATGACGAAAACTGAAAACTGAAATGCTGGCATGCCGATATGCCTCAGGAATGAGACGATTCCCCCAACAAATGTACAAAATCAAACCCCAAGAGCAACCAGTGTCCTCACAAACTAAAACTAAGCGTCTTAAAACCCCAAGCAGGAATTGCAGCAACAATAATGCATTGGCAGTTTTCGGTATAGGCCTTTGAAATCAACTGTAAAGTCAGTAATACTGCACATATCTTAACCAAGCTCTCTCTCACTACACTCAGATGTAGTCTTGGGCACGCTGTGGACCTGCTTTAACAAAATTCCTGATTGGGGCTTTCAATAATGTCGTTTATGCAGTCAAAGTGTAAAGCCTTGGAAGATGTTCTTTTTGGAGAGCAGTGCTCGAGCTGTGTGATGGGAGTTTAGCTGGAGGAGTAGATGTATTTGGTCTTTTCCAGGCCAGTGAGATAGTCTTCGTAGTGGGGCAGACAGCAGAACAGAACTCCGCAGCCCATCATGAGGATGGTGGCTCCCCACCCGAAGCCGTACGCCCAGGTGTAGTCGTAGTGGCCTTCGAAGATTAACTCGTTGAACTTCACTGGATAGATGATGAGGGCGATGATCTGGAGGATGACTGAAATGGCACAAGAAGGTCAGTTAGGAGAACTATTCTCTTTCATATAGCTGAATATAAACATTTGAACACGTTTCCCTGAACATAAATCCTGTTAAGTGGAAACAAACTGATACTATAAATGTGTTTGGAATGAGTCGAAATTACTGAACGTATGCTACAGACGTGGCAGATAGAGATTAGGTTGAAATAAGCTGGAGGGCCCAAATAAGCCCACGCTGTTCTTCCTCACTCTTACAAGCACAGAGCTTTTATCACTGTTGTCAGAAGAAAACCTCGTATCTCCATTTTTGACGTTTTTCAGTTTTTGACAAATTTTGAAAGTACCTGTTGCCTTTTACATTGTATGTAAATTTCATGGTGAATGGACTAAAAGAAACGACCCAAAATGACTTGGAAAAAAAGTCTGGTTCCATTGACTTACATTAAAAGTAAAGCAGGTTTTTTCCTTCTCCTGTAAAGTTACCATTCTGCAGATACGAAGTTTTCTTCCAACAATAGTGATATATTAGTTTTATATTATATACACAATCTGATTGGCTGAGAAGCGTTTCACTAGGGATGTGCTCAGGTACTCAAGTACTCGGTGGCAGTATTTGAATACTGAAATCACTGTTTGGGTATTTGTTACGCTTTATGGCGGGATGATGGAGAAAAACCACACAAACAATTCAGTGAAACATGTTGTTTTTGCTTGCATTTACAGCCAAGTACATCTTGTGTGAGCGTGAGCCCGACACGTTATTAAGGACATGACAGAGAAAATACCTCATGTACACTCTCCGAAAAAAAAGTACTAAACTCTCACTGGGGCAGTGCCCCTCTTGTCACTAGGATGGGACCCTCAAGGGTCCATCTCAGTACCTTCTGTCAGGGAACATAACTGAACCATAACTTCTTTAAAATAATATTTGACCTGCAGCCTGTTTGGTCAGATTCTAAGCAAGAGAGAAACCACAAGACTACATCAACAATTCTGAACCTGTCGTTGATCCCAAGCGAGCCTTTCGGTCAGCAGCTGTGATGGAGCAATTGAAAATCAGCCAGAAACAGAATTTAAATTGAAAAAAAAAAATTTTAATTGAAAAATTGAAAAATTTTAATTGAAAAAAAGCTGAGCTGAACCTGATATTGTGACAGTTTTATGGCTCTGTAATGTAAAAGGGTACTACTTTCTGCGGCGGAAGGAATTGCCAGTGTTAAAGCATGTTTGATACAATGTTCAGGGCTTCACTGCTTTACTTTTTTCTTTAGTTAGCATAACTGTTGTATGAAAGAAATAGAAAAAAAAAAATAGAAAAACTTGTTTTATCGCAAGTAAAATTATGGCAGTGATGATCTACTGTACTCGCCTTCAGCCTGTGCCTGCGACCGAATCACAGCTCTAATGTTATTTATGATATCACACCTCCTCCCATGGTCTACTGCGCAAGTATGTACTGAATAATTCACAGTAGTTCCTAAATAATAAGTCTTAAATGTATTAAGTGAATAATAAGTCTGCAGTTTAAGGAGTCAAAGATTCATCAGTGCAACCCGGGATGTAACAGGCTCTTCTAAATAACAAATACTGCTATGCACTTAGCTTTTTTCATGCTTGTTTACTTTCTAACAGAGCTAAACTACAGGAACCTATTGGCAGGACAATAGGGGACATTCTGATCCTCTAACCCAAAGGAAATTCCTCTGCTTCCAAAATGGGCTTTCAATAAGGTCACAGTGTGACGACTGCTGGGACTGATAAGCCATTAGCACACTTGAATGTCAGGTCCTCCACTGTAGCTTCTACTATGTCCATCTCAAGCAGAGCAGATCCCATTTATTTCGTTTACTTATTCGTTTATTTCAAAAGAGAATTACAGTTAAATAATTATTTCTGCGAATGAAAGTTGGGATCGTGCACCGAGCGATACTCCAAATAAGTTTAACCTTTTCACTGAATGAATTAATGGGTATCAGTCACAGCTGCTGTAGAACTAGGTAAATGCAACACAGGAAAAAGTTTTAAAATCCTGCATTGATACTTTTTTTAAGGGCTTTAAACATCTTGCTTCACACTGAATTAAAGGATTGAGCTTCAAAAAGTGAGAAGTGTAATAAAAATCATTCCCAATGACAAACAGAGCAAAATGGAGGCTTCTAGTTAAAGTTTAAGTTCTGTAGTCAGATAATGGATTTATATGCATCTACATACAATTCAATACAATATTTCTGATAATACAGTATTTATTAGGTTTTTGTTTTAACTAAAATCAGGCCTTTTTGGTGGACATCCCTAGTCTCAAGTAAGGCTGGGTACATAACTGTACCGTAATCCACTGCAATTACATTTTTACGTTATATGGATTCCACATATCCGGTCTTGTCTACAGCCCTTTTAATTTTCTTAAATTCTGTTTTAAAACACTTACACTTTTAAAACACTTTACACCGTACCTTAATGAACAAAGAATGCACCTGCACAGAATCTTTTTTTATTTGGATAGTAAATAAAATGACTATATTTGTGCTGTAGTCATGGCGACCCCTGTTTCCTATCACCACCACTGTAAGGAAAACAGTACAATTTCACATGAAGCCACTCTGAAAGACACTGTTTACATCTCAATGATTGAATTATGCAGAATTTATTTTATTAAAATTATGAAGAAAAAAGTCCTCTTTAAAAAGGCACAACAACAAAACCAGTTTCTAAAGGATAAGGAGAGGTCAGAAAATGGTCAGAAAAAAAAATTCATTGTCTTTTTAGTACATAAAACCACACATACGTCATAAGAGGACATTGAGGGATAATTAAAAAAAACGTCTTTCTTTCCTTTTTTCCTCCTTTATGTTAACTTTTACTCCCAATTATGAACTTTTTATGCTTCTAACGAAAACAGAGGCACTTCCGTCCCCGCAGGCGAGGGCCGACGCCCGGCTGGAAATTTGCAGTGTACGTGTGAATAAGTGCCTCGCCCTGCTCGGGTGTGTAGCTGAAATTCTTTCACACAGGCGTGTGGCTTTCCCTTTGGCACAAAAGATCAGGCAGAGGAGTCTTCCTGGCCTCCTGCCAACTTTGATACAATTCAGATCCACCGTGGAAATCTAAAGGTGCTGTTAGGAAGCTGATACAAAAACTCAGCAAACCTGATTAGACCATGTCTACAGTTCAGTCTGACGGGAGAGAAAGAGCCACAGTGAGGTTCGCTAAGAGGGCAGGCGGTGTCTTATTTTACCAGGCCTCACTCCCACGCCTGTATGAGCGCCTGTGGGGGCGGGGAGGCGTCCTCTATCTCTTTCTCTCTCTCTTTCTCTCTCTACGCTCTGTGCTCTCACATTAGTCACTTAACAATCCACTCCCAGGCCTCCATAGCAACAGCACAACAAAAGCTCAGGGCGACGCTCGAAGGGGCACAACTCATGCGATTACTCAGTGAGAGCTCAAGGCTAGTTGGTGGTGCTCAGGCTTGTACTGAGTAATGCTAATGTGACCACTTTCTCTGCCATTACCTTGTGCTGGGAGTTAAAGTGATAGTTCAGCAGCAAAGCAGACTTGAGCAATTTTTTCACCCAAATGTTTCTAATCAGCCAAGACATTTCTGATGTGGAGAAAGTTCAGGCGTAAATATGTACGCTGCCACTGTTTTAGCTATCCAACATACATTTCTCCATGTTTATAGTGTGTGAATACAGTGTCGGAAACAACACAAGCAAGTCTATTTAAGAACATTTAACAAACGGTTTGAGGCGAGTATGTGATCGTTTAGGCATGCTAATTGGACAGCTGTGGTATAAGCTATATGCAAAAGTAATGCATTTACATATATTTTTGACATATCGGTGCTGTCAGAACAAAACTTCGTATCATTTTGGTCGTTTTTCAGTTTTTGACATAATTCAAAAATATCTGTTGCTCTTTACAGTGTGTGTAAATTTCATGATGAATCGACCAAAAGAAATGGTTCAAAATGACTTGGAAAAAAGTCTGGTTCCATTGACTTACATTAAAAGTAAAGTATGTTTTTCTTTCTCCTGTAAAGTTACCATTTTAGAGATACAAGGTTTTCTTCCAACAATAGCGATATGTAAGCGTAAAAATGAACACCTACACCTATTACCTACATTTAAATTACACATGTGCATCTCATCTCTGTCCGAACAAAACCTCGTATCACCAAAATGGTAACTTTACAGGAGAAAGCTTTCATTTTAATGGGCGATTTTTTACTTTTTATGAAGTTTTGCAGCATTTCTTTTGCTCCATTCATCATAAAATTATAACAGTTCAAACAGCAGCCTTTTTCAATTTCCGTAAAAAAAATTTTAATGACAAAAATAGAGACATGAGGTTTTGTTCCAATAGTGATTATCTGTTTTAAATATTCTGACATATATGCACATATATTGGCATATATTTAAATATTTAAATGTGCTCATTTTTAATGTTTCACACATATATTTTAAAACATTACATATACTGCACATGCATTTATAATAAGGGCAAATATATGTACACATACAGTACTGTGCACAAGTTTTAGACCCCTGAGAATAATAATATTTAAAAAGCTTACAACTTTATATGGGCATTAAGTGTTTATTTGCTTAGGGGCTTAAGAAGAAGGAAAGAAGGAAACTTCAGACACTGAACATGTTTTGGCTGATTGAATATGTTTATGTAAGGGGTGATTTTTGAAGTGGTCAGCTACCACTTTATCACAGGACGGGAGCGTTAAGGTGTCATGTCCCTTTAGAAGCACTCAAAAAACAAGGTGCTAGGCTACAATTCACAAATGTAGTAGGTCTATCATCTTCAAACTGTACTGACTAAAAAGAAAAGGATGATTTAGATCATCTCTATATTAGACATTATCTTTGAATCAGTGAGGCTCCTACCAGCGATGATGAGGAGGAGTCCGATGAACGGCAGGAGAGGAATGTTGAGGGTACAGCAGAGCGCGATACACGAGATGATGAAGGCTATGATGAGGATGATCAGGCCGATGATCATCAGTGCAGCAACAGCCTGGGCCCAAGCTAAAGGAGACAAAAGCTTTTTAGCACAGGATCAACAATAACGGCTTTATGTGTGACTAGTGAAGCACCGCTTTAGTTCTCTTGACATTAAAAAAACATGAGAATAAACATTTTTCGAAACTGGAAGGGGTTAGTTTTGGTATTTTCCCCAACTGAAGTAAATAATTATAATTTACATGATGAGCTTATCCAAAGATTCACGTTTATAACCATCACAATTCGTAGTGCTGGGTGATATATACCAATTAGCCATGATGTTAAAAGCACCTCCTTGTTTCTACACTCTTATCAGCTCCACTGACCATATCGTTACACTTTGTGGTTCTACAGTTACAGACTGTAGTCCATCTGTTCCTCTGCATACTTTGTTACCCTGTTCTTCAGTGGTCAGGACCGCCATGGACCCTCACAGAGCAGGTACTATTTGGGTGGTGGATCATTCTCAGCACTGCAGTGACACTGACGTGGTGGTTGTGTGTTAGTGTGTGTTGGGCTGGTCTGAGTGGATCAGACACAGCAGTGCTGCTGGAGTTTTTAAACACTGTGTCCACTCACTGTCCACTCTATTAGACACTCCTACCTTGTTAGTCCACCTTGTAGATGTAAAGTCAGAGACGATAGCTCATCTGCTGCTGCACAGTTTGTGCTGGTCATCCTCTAGTCCTTCATCAGTGGTCACAGGACGCTGCCCACAGGACGCTGTTGGCTGGATATTTTTGGTTGGTGGACTATTCTCAGTCCAGCAGTCACACTGAGGTGTTTAAAAACTCCAGCAGCACTGCTGTGTCTGATCCACTCAAACCAGCACAACACACACTAACACACCACCACCATGTCAGTGTTACTGCAGTGCTGAGAATGATCCACCATCCAAATAGTACCTGCTCTGTGAGGGTCCATGGGGGTCCTGACCACTAAAGAACAGGGTAAAAGGGGGCTAACAAAGTATGCAGAGAAACAGATGGACTACAGTCTGTAACTGTAGAACTACAAAGTGCTCCTATATAGTAAGTGGAGCTGATAAAATGGACAGTGAGTGAAGAAACAAGGATTAATGTTATGGCTGATCAGTGTAGATCACTTATATCTGTATACTAGTACAATATTGATGTTCAGTTTTAGTAGTATTGACAGACAACAAATTCCTGGTGAACTGAATATCACCTGCCTCTTCATTTTGAGAAAGAAAAAACAAACAAACAAACAAACAAACAAACAAAAACAAAGCTATACTACTTTGGATTCACTGTTTTCCAATAATATAAACCCAGTTGTGTTGCAGTTACATGTACTAAACGATTCTAATATGATGCTAATACTCTACAACTTTATAAGTTTGTACAAAGCTATAGAAAAACAAAAAATATTAGAGCTGTAGATGATTCCATAATGACTGAGAACGCTGTAGAACATCAAGAATTAGGTTCTATTAAAATTAATATCCAGAATGACTCACACTTGAAAAGTGCTGATTAAATCTCCAACAAAAAAACTTACTATGAAATTACTGTAAATAGATAACTGCAGTATTATTTATCATTTAATAATATCTTACTGTTTTATTGCATAAGTTATGGTGAAATACCTTTGGTGTGTAGCTTACAGTATTTCAGTCTACACAGAGTTATTAGTTATTATCCAATAAAATAACAGAGATGATTAATATAACAAGTGATTCTAAACTTTTTAACTGTACTACACTTAAGTTTTCTTTCTGGGAATGTGCTTTCCGTCCGGTCAAGGTTTACAATGCTGTCTTAGGGCTCCCTCTGGTGTGAACGGAAACAGAAGAGGACAAAAGATTCCAACTGACAGATTACAGACACAACAGCTTGAACATCCCTGCTCAAATTTGTCTTTTGTTTATTTTAAAGTGAAAATAAGTCAACACAGCCTCTACCAACAAACCTGAAATGTGCATTTTTTTTTCTACCAAATTTAGTGTTTCTATTTATTTGCTAAGCTAAGTCTGAATATGTGCAGTTAAATTAGATTTTATTAATTTTCTAAGTAAAAATAAGTGAACAAATCCTCTACAGAGAACACACTTCTGCAGATGTTAAAGCACAGTTCCTGTTTATTTGCTGAGTTTAACATATTTGGAAAAAAAATACAACATAAAACATAACTTTTGCACAGGCCACATTTTATGTTTTATTATTTCTTCCCCTCAGCAAATAAACAGTAACAGTGCATTAAAATGTGCAGAAGTGTGTCCTCTGTAGAGGATGTGTTCACTTATTTACACTTGCATACACAAAAAACTTGCATACGGTACCAAAACCTTCGCATACGACTGTATGTCAGATTTGCACAAGCATTCAGGAAGCACACAATACATTCACCGAATATATTTACACAAACTTCTAACACCCTCTGACCCCATGACGATATATGTAAAATATCCAGATACTGAATTTTATCAGTACCACCCGGCGCTCTGATCTCGTTTAACCTGGTAAACACAAGATTACTCAGAGTTAAGATGGCTTGTTGTTGCAGGGCAGGGTGTGGCTGTTTTCATGAGGTTTAACCCTCTGACTGTAAGTCAAGTCAGATGCTCTCACTGTTCTGTAGTTTTGTTATACAGTTTTGGCCTAAAATGCATTTTAATCAATTTATTTCAATTAATTCATGGTGAGGGGTTGGGGGGGGGGGTGGTACATGCAGGGTGTTTTAAGGCAAAATAGCCCCCAAAGTAAGCTTCTTTTTTCAGATTTATGCCTATTTTACCATTGTTCTTAATATAAAAACTCATAATACATGCAGGTTCACTGGTGGCTTTGGATAATAAATAAAATGTCCATATTTGTGTTGTAGTCATGGCGACCTCTGGTTCCTATCACCACCGCTGTAAAGAAATCCGAGTCTCTATAATTTTATCAGTACCGCCCAGCGCTCTGAGCTAGTTTACCCTGGTAAACAATGATTACTCAGAGTTAAGCTGGCTTGTTACTGCCGGGCAGGGTGTGGCTGTTTCATGAGGTTTAACCCTCTGATTGTAAGACAGACGCTCTCACTGTTCTGTAACCTATGACTCAGGATGACAAAATATGAGAAACAGAGAAAGAATGGTGGACATCTGTAAACAGTAGCTCCACCCTATGACTGTCACCTCGACTTTCACCCTACGATCTCTTCAAAAACGAGACCAACCCAAGCAAGAAACTGACTGATAACAGGCTGTGCATTAATGAAGCACTGCCCAGCTCTACGTCATGTGAACCAGCACTGCGGCTCTGCTTTCTCAGCACTCAGAGATACTTGGCAAGCCTGTCGGGTGCGTTTAGGTTGGGCTGGAGTGTCAAACCACACCCGGTGAAACAAAGGCAGGAGGCAAAGGGTGTGACTCCTGTAACCCACCCACTCCCTTCCCCCACTGAGAGGAGCTCTGAAACTGCCATTCATTAGAAGAGCACATATTACACAACAGGCAATATATTTACACTGATAACATAAATATAATGGCATTATAAGAACGTTGACTGATGAGTTTAAAGTGGTATGAAAGCTTACAGCAGTGTGCAAAAGTTTTGGCACACCCAGTCAAATGATTTTTGGAATGGTTTTGCTGATCTTTCTAAGATAAACGCATCCTCTACAGTGAACACACTCCTGCAGATGTTTAAATACTGGGGAATGTTTAATATATTGCAGTAGAAAATACAATGTAAAATATGCCGTGTGCAAAATTTTATATTTTACATTTTATTTCTTTCCCCCCAATGTGTTAAACTCAGCAAACAAACAGAAGTTGTGCATCAACGTCTGCAGTGGTGTGTTCTCTGTAGAGCAGGCACGTCCGGACCAAAGTTCTGCGGAGATCAGCGTTTACCCTCATCTGACGCTCTGAATTCAGCTCATGAAGGCTTTGCTAATTAGCTGACAAGCTGAATCAGGTGTGTTTATTAATCAGGTATTTAATGAGGAAGTCTGCAGTGTTTTGTCCCATGAGGACTGGAACCTGACACTCGTGCTGTAGAGCATATGTGATCAGCAAAACATGTAATTTCACTGTGGATGTTCAAACTTTTGTATATGACTGTATATTCGGTTTAAGCCGGTTAGCGGTAGCCACATCAACTCAAACATAAAAGCGGCCTGAGTGAAACACATCAGTAATGATCCCAGCATGTGAGAACCTGTTTATTAAGACTGTGTTTTGAGGATGTGTTTCTATTGAATAGCTGGCAGAATAACTGACAGCACCCCGAGGCAGACAGTCAGGCCTATGTACGCTGTGTACGACACAAACTAAATGGTCTCCCTACTGGTTAAACAAGTTATCTGCCGTATACAGAGCCACACGTTAGTGAATAAACAATGGACGAGTTTGCGTTTCTCAGTTCAGAAGGATGTGAATGTTGAGATACCCAAATTACTCAGTCATGCCTAGAACAAAATACATTTTTGGTCACCACTCAGCACAATCCGCAGTTCAGTGGTCCAGCTGGACACTACTGTGACGGTGAAATATAATATATATGTATATATTACGATACTTTCACAACACACAACACATTTCACGATAATACGTTTTTCTCAGGTTTGATAAGTCAGAGCATCCATGTTTAAAAATAATATTAAAAACTGTGTGATCAATGAATTTGGTTCAAACTGAAATATAATAGAACTGATTTCCAAAATTACTTGGAAAAAAGTCTGGTTTAAATTGACTTATTATTAACATATATTGACATATATGAAATCACTACTTATTGTATTAATGATATTTGTATTTTATTCAAATTTTTTGTGTTTTTTGAGCAAATAAACACTTAATGCCCAGATAAAGTTGTAAGCTTTTTAAATATTATTATTCTCAGGGGTCTAAACTTGTGCACAGTACTGTATGTGTACATATATTTGCCCTTATTATAAATGCATGTGCAGTATATGTAATGTTTTAAAATATATGTGCGAAACATATTTAAAATGAGCACATTTAAATATTTAAATATATGCCAATATATGTGCATATATGTCAGAATATTTAAAACAGATAATCACTATTGGAACAAAACCTCATGTCTCCATTTTTGTCATTTAAATTGTTTTTTTTTTTTAACCAAATTTGAAAAAGCTGCTGTTTAAACTGTGTTATAATTTTATATATATATATATATATATATATATATATATATATACACACATACATACATACAGACACACACACACACATACTATACTATATACATATATATATAAAATGATACTTTCACAACATACAACACGTATCACGATAATACGTTTTTCTCAGGTTTGATAAGTCAGAGCATCCATGTTTAAAAATAATGTTAAAAACTGTGTGATCAATGAATTTGGTTCAAACTGAAATATAGAACTGATTATGCTATCTTGATAATGAAACATGCAGCTGATCACCTATGATATGCTAAAAAAGGCATATTCTGAAGTAATTTATCACAATAATGAAAATCATATCGTCATATTTCGCAACCCTACATAAATATGCGTCTGTGCATGTGTAAAGATTCAGCACAAAGGTGCTGAATTTGCAACACCAACTAAAATACAACCAACAAAAAAGTTTCTCTATATATTACTTGTTTTTTTTTTTCTTATTTTGGAATGTAGCTATATTTGTATGTTTTTCCTTTAAATTCATTTGTACCGTGATCTTAGTTGTCTAGGTGCTTTCTTCTTCTTCTTCTACTACTCCTACTATTTTTTAAAATTACTAATATTTAATACAGACCAATAGTTAAAATATTATATCGTTATATTCCATCATATATCGCACACAGCAACACACACTGAGGAAGAGTGAAAACAACAAAATGGTCAACTGGGGCCTGAAGTAAACCATTTTAGTGGTTTATTAGCTGCTTTTTGAGTTGTTGTCCTACAACCCACAGTTTTTAAACAATCTAAGTCAGTTGGCCAAACACAGAGCTTACGGGGAATTCCACCAATTTTTCAACATTTCCAAATAATTCAGTCCTTGGGATGCAAACAGAATCATTCAGTGTGGTTTGGTGTGAAACGGTTGATTGTAGAGACTCATCTTTACAGTGGTGGTGATAGGTACCAGGGGTCGCCATGACAACAACACAAAATATAGCCATTTTATTTAATTTCCAAAACCACCCGTGAACCTACACACGTCTTCTTTGGGGACCACTTTGCCTTAAAACACCCTGCATGTACCCCTCCGCCATAAATTAACTTAAACAAATTGATTAAAATACATTTTAAGCCAAAACTTTGTCACAAAACTATGATTAACCAGTGTCTCAGACTTCAGGCAGTGTTTTCATAACCATTTATTGTAATAACTTTCTGTGAGGGAGCTTTTAGAGGTGGACGTCTGGTTCCTATCACCACCACTGTGAACAGTTCTGACCCTTCAGTTTCCCCAGAACGGAGCACTTCACGCCAAACCGCTCTGAATGACTTTGTTTACGTCTCAACCAAGCAATTAATTTTTAGCAAGTCGGTGGAGTTCCCCTTTAACTTCTTATTCGAATTTCTCTTTCCACCTTAAATGGCTGAGTCCTCGCGCCTAAGGGGAAACGGGAAATCCGAACAAGAAGCTGCCGAAGAGGAAACTAACTTAAGCCCCGCGTTAAAACAGCTTGTTCTGAGCTTGTTTAAGCAGCTTAGGCTGCCCGGCCAACTTACAGAACTCCATGAGCGACTTGCAGGCCCAGTTGTTGTTCCGGCCGCGGCACTGCTCCCACATGTTGGCGTAGTGAGACTTGGCGTCCTCGTCCTCCACCCATCCGGACTGCGCGGCGATGGCGATTATGTCAAAGATGATGGCGAAGAGCAGGAGAAGAGGAAGGATCCACCTGCACCGTGGATACGCGATTCCGCAGCGAAACATCTCTGAAAGTCGGCTGTGTGTCTGGGTGTGTTACCGTCTGTTGCTTGCGCGCCGCCCGGAGTCCGAAGTTGACTGCGTTCCTCTCCAGCCTGGACTCTGAACTACAGTACCCCGGAGCTCCACCCATGAAACCTGATCAGGGCAGGAGAGCAGAGGGACTCGCCCAGACAGGCCCTTTTACTTTTCAGCTCTGGTTATGTTCGAACCTGTAGAACAGCGTCTATGCCTCTCGAAACAATACAGCCATTTAACAAGTCATATTAATCAAAGTTTTTCATTATGACTTAATATCTCATAATTATGATTTAGGATCTCATCATTTTGACTTGATATCTCATAATTACGACTTAGCACCTCAAAATTATGACTTAGTAGCTCATAATATTGAGATTCAATCTCATAAGTATTACTTAATATCTCATAAATATGACTTATTTTCATTATTGTGACTTACTATCTCATAATTATGATTTAGGATCTCATCAGTTTGACGTAATATCTCACAATTACGACTTAGCACCTCAAAATTATGACTTAATATCTCAAAGTTATGACTTAGTAGCTCATAATATTGAGATTCAATCTCATAAGTATTACATAATATCTTATAAATATGACTTATTTTCATAATTATGACTTACTATCTCATAATTATGACAATATCTCATAGTTATGATTTAGGATCTCATCATTTTGACTTAATGTCTCATCGTTTTTACTTAGTTGCTCATAATATTGAGGCTCAGTCTCATAAGAGTTACCTAATATCTCATAATTATGACCTAATATCTCATAATTATGACGTAGTATCTCAAAATAGAGAAATTCTATCTCATAGTTATGAATCATTATGAGGATCACATAATTATGACTTACTTTCATAACTATGAGTTATCTCATAATAAAGAACTTTTCTCATTATTATGAGATGTAAAATCATGATTATGAGATAGAATCTCATAATTAAGAGATACATCATAATTATAAGTTAGTATCTCATAATAAAGAACTTCTATATCATAATTATGAGTTTCTCATTATAAGATATTAAGTCATAATTAAGAGATACCTCATAATTATGGAAAACTTATTAAAGGCTGTACATTTTTCTCCAGTGGTGGAAAGGGGCTTCCACACACATCTGCTCATCCAGCATTTTCTTCTGAAATTTGTGCCCCCACTGCTGCAGTAACAGCCTGTACTCTTCTGGGAAGGCTTTACACTAGATGTTGGAACATTGCTGTGAGGATTTGATTGCATTCAGCCAAAAGAGCATTAGTGAGGTCAGGTACTCAGTCATGCTGGATGACAAATTCTATTTTTAAAATATCTGCAAAATTTAATATACTATAAACTGCAATAAAATCAGAAACAGTGTCCACTACATATTTATTTGCTGCAGTTAGCGTTGTATATGAATTATACATTAAGTAAGTAAGCATTTTTAATTGCAAACACACATTTTACACACATTTGAAATTTGCTTATTATGTGCACAAACATGACCGAAAATTCACATTTGGCAAAATCAATAAACAATACATTTTTTTGGTCAATTTCACTGTTTTCCAGCATTAGAAAAAAAAATAGCATTTAAAAACATACATACATACATACATACATACATACATACATACATAAATAAATAAATAAAATTGTAATAATCCAGCATAAAACTTTGAAAGTCTTTAAAACCTGAACTGTCAGAATAAAAACACTTTTATTAAAATGTTTAGCCTTTTTAACTCTCAGTTGCTGTAATGTCACATAAAGCAGTGCGGTACAGTGCAGCGTCTGCCTCACAGTAAATTGCTGTGTGTTGTTCTGAGGTGAGTTGATTTCACAATGATGAATACAGTATTGTACTGTGAAAAAATAGTGTTAAATATTGTAAAATCCTAGCAATAATTAACAGTGTAGAATAGTGGTAAAGTTTTTGTTGAGGACTATTTTGCCTTATAACACCCTGCGTGCAAATCTCTGCCACGTATGCAATCAAGAAAACACATTTTGGGCCAAAACGTGATAGCTTTTAGAGGTGGACGTCTGGTTCCTATCACCACCACTGTGAACAGTTCTGACTCAGTAAGTTTCTCTAGAACAGAGCATTTCACACCAAACTGCTCTGAATGACTCTGTTTACATCTTAACCATTTATTATAATAAAATTTAAAGTTAGAATTTGGGGTTCTGCCTTAAAGTAGCTGAATTCACTCATTAGAAGGGCTGTCTGGATACTTTTGGAATATATCAGTGCTGTTGGAAGAAAACCTCATATCTCCAAAATGGTAACTTTACAGGAGAAGGAAAAAACTTTAATTTTAATTTTGATTTTTACTTTTTATGGAGTTTTGCAGCAGTTCTTTTGCTCCATTCATCATAAAATTATAACAGTTCAAACAGCAGCTTTTTCAAATTCTGTAAAAAAAAAAACAATTTAAATGACAAAAATAGAGACATGAGGTTTTGTTCCAATAGTGATTATCTGTTTTAAATATTCTGACATATATTGGCATATATTTAAATATATAAATGTGCTCGTTTTAAATATGTTTCACACATATATTTTAAAACATTACATATACTGCACATGCATTTATAATAAGGGCAAATATATGTACACATACGGTACTGTGCACAAGTTTTAGACCCCTGAGAATAATAATATTTAAAAAGCTTACAACTTTATCTGGGCATTAACTGTTTATTTGCTCAAAAAACACAAAAAAATTTGAATAAAATACAAATATCATTAATACAATAAGTAGTGATTTCATATATGTTAATGTATGTTAATACATGTCATATATGTCAATATATGTTAATAATAAGTCAATTTAAACCAGACTTTTTTCCAAGTAATTTTGGGCCATTTCTTTTGCGCCATTCATCATGAAATTTACACGCAATGTAAAGACCAACAGACATTTTCAAACTATGTCAAAAACTGAAAAACGACAAAAATGGAGATACGAGGTTTTGTTCTGAAAACAGCGATATTAGTGTAAGTATATGTACTTGTTCTGCCCAGTGTTCCACCCATGGAGTATTTTATGCTGAGGGTGGGACAAAGTTTAGTCATAAACTGAGCCTAAATTCAAAGACTGATAGTGTCTCAGCCCTGAGTAAAACAACTATCTGCTCTACGAAACAAAACATGAGTCATGCAAGGAATATTAATTATTGCTCCACTTTAAAAAAAACAACAGTGGAAAACAGTTCCGGTGTAAAACAATAGATTTCATGATGCAGTGTCTGATGTAGTCATTTTACAGTGTAAAACTGCATTACTTTTCTCACTAAATAATTAAGTGATCATCTCACTGTTTAGAGCAGTTCTCCCTGAAGGGTGATCAGCAGGGAGCGGCTGAAGGTGTGCCCTATTACTAACCTTCCTCACGACTTCACAGCTTTGGTCTGTCACATGAAAACATGAAGTAAAAAAAACTATTTATCTTCTATAGCTTGCACATGTACAGTTTACAAAAACCTTTGAATTGTATGTGGATATACAGAGCTGTGAAAAAGTCATAGATCATGCATTTAATTTCCAGTTACTTATTATTATAAGTACCAATTATTCATTTTCAGGCATATTTCAGATGAGATTAAATATAAGATCATCCACTTACATAATGAAGGAGAAACCTGGGAAAATTAAGTGATTTTTCAAAAAATAGTTAAAAGTTACAGAGAAACTGGGCCTCCTAACAACCACCTGGAAGACCTGGTAGACACCCAAAACTGCCCCCATCAGATAAACAGCACTTAAAGCTTTCATCTCTGAGAGAGAGGAGAAAATCAAGCTGCTTCAGATCTGAAAACATCCACAGGTGTTTCTGTCCATCCTTCCACTGTGAGAAGACGACTCAGCGCTGTGGGTCTGAAAGGATGTGTAGCTGTCAAGAAGAACCTCACTGAGAAAAGGAGACGGACACACCAAACAAAGAAACTGAACGACGGACTGACCACCCCAGAGTCCAGACCTCAACACCACTGAATGTGTTTGATTACTTCAGAAAATGATCAACCAGCTTCTAAGACTGAACTTTGGAGCGTGTCTGCAGATTTACTTGAGGAACTGAAAGTGTGTCTCCAGAAAAGAGTGGACGCTGTAATGACAGTATAGAGTGGACACACTAAACACTGAAACATGTTTTTTTCTGTTGAACATGTTTTCTGCTTTTTTCCTGACTCTGACTTTCTCTTAATGGCTGTTTTGTCTGGAAAGAGTGGTCCACAGTACTGTATACATGATAAGCCTCTTATCTTTGATATTATCTTTAAGCTGTAATAATAGATATTTATTAAATACACAAGATATTATTTAATAACAACACAAACATTTTATGCATCTTTACTCACCAACAATAAATTGAAACAGTTCTCAGTTTGTAGCAAAATGATCAAAGTGAGAATCTTCACTAATTCACTCACAGTTATGACGACTTATTAATCATCATAAACTTATTCATGTCCAACACTTCCATTTAATATAAGCAGGAAAAATTACACAGAACTTGATCTGCTTGGCTTACAGTGATGAAATTTTGTGTAGTTAAAGTGGGAATCAGTCTAAAGTCTATCAGTGCTCCTTACTGTGTAACTTTCATACTGTTTATTACATTCATGCTTTTATTCACAATCAAATTTTGATTTTGTTGTTTTGTTAAAAGTCAGAAGTGCCATGTGGACAAAATATTGAGTATAATATCATAAATTAAGGGATAAAACTCATCTGTAGCCATATGGTTTGATCTGTTTGAAGAAGCTTGCTCAGGCAATCTGGGAGAACATTTCAGATACTGTAGACAATAACAATAATAACAATAAACAATAGTGGTAATATATAACTATGTAATATAAATGATGCATATATTCAGTACTGTGTAGTAGTTTTAGACAACCAAGAAAATTAAAAGTATTTGTCTGGGCAGTAAGTGTGTTTTTGCCAAAGCAAAACACTAAATAACATTAGAATAAATACATAAATACAGTAAATTGTAAAAGGAATGTACAGTTATGAATGGGTGGGTTATAAGAATACAGTTAGAACAGCACAGGTTTGGTTCTCACTGCACTCCAGCCATCAGATGGATTTGTTCAGTTCCATCAGCAGCACCTGAATTTAATATAATGAAGGACTGATTAGATAAACTCGGTACTAGATAGCCTAATGTTGAACTTCCTCGAGGAGAGATTTGGAAATGGTTAACACACAACAATCAAAATGCATTGTTAATTTCCTTAGTTGTATATCGTCACTGTCCAAAAAATGTACCTCCAATTTTTTAAAAATTTTATTTTTCTACATCATTAGAGCAGAGAAGCTGTCCTTCACATCGTGTCAAAATTTCATGATGAATGGACCAATAGAAATGCTCTAAACAAATCTCATTACGTCGACTTTAAAGTTTTTACCTTCTCCTGTAAAAGTACTGTTGTAGAGATACTATATTTCTTTAGAAACTGATGATTTTTCTACTCTTAGTTTTTTAATGCCTTCTCTTTATTTTAATAATTTTACAAGTCATTTTCTCTGTTGCCCAGGACTTCTGTACAGTACTGTACATATGTTTGAGAACATTATTATTATATTATTATGTATAAACACGTTTCTAAAAACTACAAAATCTGGGAGGAAAACGGTCAAAGAACCTTAGCTAAGCTGTGAGGTATGGAATGATCAGATCTGTGTGGCCTAGATGAACTCTGCACTGTTCTAACACGCCTGCACAACTCGGCAGACCTGATTTTCACACAGCGCTGAGAGAAACAGTCAAATATCTTCTTCCTCTGTATCAGGGGTGCCTAAACCCAAAGCAAAGCTTAATGCTTGTGGTGGGCCAAGAGCCACAAAGACAAAACAATGCACAAATAAAGAAGGTTGCTAGGCATCAAATTAAGATTTCATAACCTTACATTATATTTTCTTACTAAAATAGTTCAAAACCATTTTAAAATGAAAATTAATAACTGAATAACTTGTTCGGTCACTGAGAGGGTGGGGTTAGTGTAACTTTCTGGCGAGCCAAAACAAACATCCACATGGGCCAATTTTGGGCAGCCCTGCTCTATATGATCTGAGTGCCTCTCACTAAAACTTCAGGGCTCCAGACTAACGGTGTCCCGTCATGGATTATTAAAGCTTGCCACAGACATTTCATGTCACATATTTTACTTCATTAGAGTTCCGAGGCACAAAAATGTGCTCGATCTATTCGTATTCTAAAGGCGACCATAAATAATCCTGAAAACATGCCCATTGTAAAGCACGCTGCTTATATTAATATATAATGTACACTATAAAGTTATTCCATTGCATATGGAACAGACACTACATCCTTCTGGAATAATGCTCGTAGGGAGATGATATATCTGACCAATATCGGTAACAGTGGGGTCAAAAGGCAATAAGGTTGGCTGAACTCCTGCCCTGTTTTTAAAAAGCAACACCTGATGGGACTGCATCAGTAACAACAGCAGCTTCTATTGGTGGCACTTAAAATTACAAAGCAAACAGTTAAGTAAACAATATAGAATTAGTTTTCTTGCTTTCTCCTCTAGCTGGGATTCTTTCTGTCTCATCAGTCCTTTTTCTCTCTGGGGTTTCCAGGTATGGACAGCTGTGAGATCACTGGGGCTCAAACTCACAATCTCTTGCTGCTGGGGGTTAATAATTAGACCAGTGCAGCACATGTTACTACATTACAGTAGAATCTCAAATAGCTCTTTGTTTAGACGTATCATGCACTGTCTGGGTGCCGGAGTCATTATTTTAAGACCTATGTAGTGCACTACAGAGGGAGCCATTTGAGATTCCTGATCTTGAAATAAAAGGAAGTTTGTTGTGCGGTTGAACCGGAGAGAGGGGGGTTACTGAGGGGTAAATAAACAAACAAATAATATAATATAATATTATAAAACAGATTATATACACAAAATGCCAAAATTAGAACACAGGTTCCAGGAAGATAAGGAGTCTACTCTTTTGCACATTACACTTATGTATTTAGTACTTTGCAAATAAAATAATTAGATTATATTAAAAAATATTCACTTTTCCAGTCATTTCAATAATTTGTAAACCCAAATAAAACATTTTCTAGATGAAGTCCAAGATAGAGCTACAGATATTTTGCCACAGCTGTGTTTATTATGTTTCTTTTCTTTTTTTAATTTCTTTTTTTAATTTAATGCAGAAAATGAAACATGATAGGACGCATCAAACAGAAACATCAAACAAATAAATAAATAAAACAGAACAGGAAGGAGGAAAAAAAACTTACAACCGACATTCAGGGGATTCAAAAACAAACAGACATTTTATGCGAAAATGTCTAAAGATTTACATCATTTCAGTGTTTCGACAGCCTTCTTATCGTTAGAACCAGTAACTGTTTTCAAGTATTGTTTGGTTTCATTAACAAATAAAACCAAAGCAGGCTTTTGATTTGAATATTTACACTTATGAATATGGAGTTTAGCTAGCAATAAAATAAGACTGATTATATAGCATTTTTCTGACTCGATAGAGGAGATCTTTGAAAGCAAACAACACATGTTCAAAATAAGAGGAGAGGTTAGTATCAGTTTTCTGTATAATAAAAGAACAAATATCTTTCCAAAAGTTATGAGAGTGAGAGCAGATCCAAAATAAGTGAAATTCCCAGGAATTCTATTACAAAAATAACAGTTTGCATCTATATTATCTTTAAATCATTTGAGGGGTAGTTTATCACACTTCAGACACTCAGGCCTCTGGCTCCATAGATATACATACCTAGATGCCGCTTGCCTGTTGTTCTCTATCTGAGCCAATACGTCTGCGCGTCCGCCATGTTGGAGCGGTCAAGATCCGCTTGTGAACAAATTGACTTGTATTGAGAGACGATGAGTCTCAGAATTAAATCAGCCACAACTTCCTTATTACTCAACCGATATTCACCAAATCTGTTTTGTTATAATCCTCAGACACAGACTAATCCAGGCTGCACGGATCTGCTCTCGGTAGCTTTTATTACTTTAATAACTGATCGTGATAATTAGCAGTCCGGACCAGCAGGAAAGTATTCAGTCTGCACCTGACGTTAAAAACTGAGTGTAGCGCACCGATGGAAACATAATCAGCAAATCCATCAATGTGTGAATCACTTCTAATCTTTATACACAGAAGAGCGAAGGTAAAGTTGGCTTCCTATTCGCCAGCTTCTGGTTCGAGTTTTCCCGTTCCACCTTAAATAGTGCAGCATTCACTTTCTGGTGCCTGAAGCTGCACCGTTTAATATGGAACGAGAAAATTCAAACAAGAAACTGGCAAATCAGAGCCTAACTTCGGGTTCGTGTAATAAGGTGCTCATCTATTATGAATATCTACACGGATTAAGGAGTGTAAGGACTATTAAATGAAATAAGCTCAATATAAAACCAGAGGAAAAACAATCACATCAACAGGTTCTCTGTGCCTCATTAACCACACGGCCATATTTAAACACTACACAAACAATACATATCACACAAACACGAGCGTGGATCACTGCGTTCCCTCTGGTATATAATCCTATCCCACTTTCTGAGAGTAATATTCTTGAAATAGTGTCATTTTGGAGAGTATCTTTCTTGAACTGACGCTCTGTAATGGTACTGAATGCAGTCCAGCAACGATGTTGACCGCCCCAAAATGGCAGCGCCGTTGACGTGCCTGGCTGGACCCGACGCGGCATCTAGGTATGTATATCCAGAGCCGGTTTAGGAGGAGCCTGGTCCCTCCCTATTCCTCCCGTATTATCAAAAACAGGCCTGCTGAACAGCAGAGGGCGCCCACGAGTGAGTCCTCAATGAATGGGAGTAAACGGAGCTCAACGGCTAAAAACGAACAGTTAAAATAGTTTCTAATCACTGAACCAGAACTTTCCTTTAGTTTTAGAGAGTAGAAGGATGGATTTCACTAAAAAAACAAAGAAATCTCACCTGTATGTTTCCTTTTTTCTACAGTAAACAGGTTTTGGGCAGCAGGAGGCGGGCTTTACTGCTAGTGTGTGCTGATTGATTGGCGAGCGGAGCAGCTCATTGGTTATTCGCGCTCACTGACGTCATGAACGTACATGAGGCGCGGTTTTAAACTCCTGTAACTCGAGTTTAAAAGCTCTTAAAAATATAACAGCGGTGTTAAAATGCTTTATGCTGTTCTGTGTTCAGGAAATGAATGAATTCTTTTACATTAAAAATGTTTCAGCATTTATAAACTATGATTTTGCTCAAATGCTCCACATCAACCCATTCATTTTGGGCTCACTCGGGAGCGCCCTCTAGCGTTCGAGAAAACCGGAAGACATTGTAGAGGGTAATTCTCATCTCTACAGGTTCTCTTTTTTTTTCTTTCTTCCAATTGTTTATTATATAATTACATTAGTACAAAAGCAGTATAAAGCAGAACAGATATAGTTAGGTCAGATAACAAATTGCGTAAGAAAAATGTGGAAACAAATTTAAACAACAAAGTTTAAACAAAACAAAAAAAAACAAAGTTTACACACAAAAAAATAAAATAAAATAATAAATAAATAAATAAATAAATAAATAAAGAAAGAAAGAAAGCCAGGGGAATGAAAACGTTTTTACAGAAACAAATTAAATAAGGATGCGGCATCTAGGGTTTGTTTTTTTTTGCCTTAGCTGCTCTATTTTTTTTGTCTTAGCTGCTCTATTTTTTGTCTTAGCTGCTCTATTTTTTGTCTTAGCTGCTCTTTTTTGTCTTAGCTACTCTTTTTTGTCTTAGCTGCTCTATTTTTTTGTCTTAGCTGCTCTTTTTTGTCTTAGCTGCTCTATTTTTTTGGTCTTGGCTGCTCTATTTTTTTTCTTTCTTCCAATTGTTTATTATATAATTAGATTAGTACAAAAGCAGTATAAAGCAGAGCAGATATAGTCAAGTCAGATAACAAATTGCGTAAGTAAAATGTGGAAACAAATTTAAACAACAAAGTTTAAACAAAAAAACAAAAACAAACGCGGCATCTAGGTATGTATATCTATGTCTGGCTCGTTCGCGTCATCGGAAGAGGGAAAAATCAACTTCCGTCCTCCATGTCGCAGTGAGACAGCGAGTTTAGTGAGGTTTTCGGAGGTGCAGTTTCAGTTCGGCTCAGCTCAGCCCGGCCCAGACATGCTCTCCACACACTCCCTAGGAGAAAACGGGAAGATGAAGGAGTATCACTACGCCGGACCCGTAGAGCACAAATTCTCTCCTTACGCCTTTAACGGAGGGTAAGAACCGACCAGAGAGGAGCTGCAGGCTCAAGTCGGCTTCCTACTCGCCGGCTCTTGTTCGAATTTCCCCGTTCCACCTTAAATGCGGCAGCATCCATTCTGGCACTTGAAGCCCTGAAGCGCCAGAACGTTACTGCTGCACCATTTAAGGTGGAACGGGGAAATTGAAAAAAGAGGCTGGCGGGCTGAATGGGCAAAGTTTCACAGTGATCTTGTTTCGAATGATCATATCAAAATATCATAATGAAGAGTTAAAAAACTGGCGAAATCTTAATTCTAGCTGACAAAAATCGCCATTAAATCAGCCGGAGCTGTGAAGCTAACGAGGCTAAACAGCAGTGGGGGCTTATAGCCACCAATTAGCTTAGCAGCTTTTTGGACAGATTTGTTAGTTAACTAACTAACTAACTAGCGATATTAGCCACATATATCCAGTCCAGAACTAAAGAAGGAGACTTCGGGAATCGAACATAAGTCGATAAGATGATTTTTTTATAACGCTACGTTTTGTTTGTCTGTAAAGCAGGTTGTTAGCTTTGCTAGCTAACAGTAGCTAAGTTGGCTGTTTTGAGGGCGGCTGTGCTGTTAAAGGACCAGATTTCGGCAGCGTTCACTTTGATTTCTAACTTTCAGGCTAAATTTCGTTCAGTCAGAATTATATAACGTGAAATAACACAGTGTAATCGCCCACAGCAGCCCAGGTGGCAGCTAATTCGGCTCGGAGTTGACAGCTAACGTGCTAATGTTAGCGTGAAGTTCTGCAGATTCATCTTTCGGTTTTGCTTTGATGCTCAGGGGCGGTTAAAGGGGCTTTAACCCACATTTCCTTGGATTTTGTGTATGTAGTTTAGCTACCAGAGGATCACTTGGATCGTTTATGAGGTTTTATGTACCAAAAACAGTCATCATTGTTTTCTACCTGATCATTTTCTGATTTCTTTTTTATGGATATGGAATAGTATATCATTAGTTACATACACAGAGCAACCATAACATTATGACCACCTCCTTGTTTCTACACTCATTGTCCATTTTATCACCTCCGCTTTCCATACAGGGGGATCCATCTGTTACTCTGCATACTTTGTTGCGCTGGTAAGAGTGGATCAGACACAGCAGTGCTGCTGGAGTTTTTAAACACCTCATTGTCACTGCTGGACTGAGAATAGTCCCCCAACCAGAAACATCCAGCCAACAGCGTCCCGTGGGCAGCATCCTGTCACCACTGATATCGGACTAGAGCAGGGGTGCACAGCTCCAGTCCTGGAGGGCCAGTATCCGGCACAGTTTGGTAGTTCTCCTACTCATACACACACACTAATCTTTGCAATTAACAGGTGAGTTGAATCAGGTGTGTTTGAGCAGGTGAATCACCAGACTGTGCTGGATACTGGCCTCTGAACTAGAGGATGACCAGCACAAACTGTGCAGGAGCAGATGAGCTGTCGTCTCTGACTTTACATCTACAAGGTGGACTGACAAGGTAGGAGTGTGTAATAGAGTAGACAGTGAGTGGACACAGTGTTTAAAAACTCCAGCAGCACTGCTGTGACTGATCTACTCGCACCAGCGCAACACACAGTGTCGCTGCAGTGCTGAGAATGACCCACCACCCAAATAATACCTGCTCTGTGGTGCTCTTTGGGGGTCCTGACCACTGAAGAACAGGGTAACAAAGTATGCAGAGAAACAGATGGACTACAGTCTGTAACTGTAGAACTACAAAGTGCACCTATGTGGTCAGTGGAGCTGATAAAATGGACAGTGAGTGTAGAAAGGAGGTGGTTTTAATGTTATGGTCGATCGGTTTACTATGTTGCACTAAATCCATTCAAACAGGACTGATTATGGATTCTTTGTGATGAAACATGCAGTTGCACAGTGTCCTTTAAGTACTGATGATCAGTAAAGAATATTGTTTATCACAATAACAAAACCTGTTATGATAAGGGACTGTTTTTGTTACTGTGCCTTTATGACTGGTATGTGTAACTGACCTCTGTTCTGATTGGCCTTGATGAGGCCCTGTCTTGGCCTCATATTTCATTCAAAAAAACAGGCTGAAACACTTTGTAACTTCATTGTCAATGAGCAGGGCAAAGCTACTGTAGGCTGATTTGGCATGTATATGTAAATACATTGTTTTATGATGATGTGAAAACCAATGTATTCAAAAAGAGATTTCATACATGGACTGTATGGATTTGAGGAGTGAACTGGCATTTTAAAACTTTCAAAAAAAGTGAGGATGATTAGTTTTTTTCTTGCCATGGCCCCTTTAATACCACCCTGGATTTACAGTTAAACTGTTGGTTGTCTTAGTTGCTTTATGTAGTTGTGTGAAAACTCTCCTCTCTTGTTTTTAGTAACTTGCCTTAACCTGTATCTGTCTTGCAGGACGGTGCTGGCGGTAGCTGGTGAAGACTTTGCTCTTGTGGCCTCAGACACACGTTTAAGTGAGGGTTACTTGATCCATAGCCGGGACTCCGCAAAATGTTATAAACTGTAAGTGACCACAGCCTTTGGATTAACACGTCCGTACAGCAAAACTAATATACAAAAAACGTGTTGCTTATGTGTTTTAAATATTTCTTTGGTCTTTTCTTACAGAACAGACACTACAGTGATTGGCTGCAGTGGATTCCATGGAGACTGTTTAACGCTGACCAAAATTATTGATGCAAGGCTTAAGGTAGATCACTTTCACTTTTTTAACTGTGGTTTGTGTGACTGAAACCCCAAATCCTTTACTTGCAATAGTTTTTCATATTTGTTTACAGTTTTTACTGTATGGGCTTTAGATAATGCTATTAGTAAAGATAATATTATAGAGTATAATAAGATAATATAATTGAGTAAATTTTAGCACAGTATTATCACAGTCATCTGACGTTTGATGAAGAAATCATGTGTAATTGCAGCAGCACTCATTTCTTCTTTTGGTCAAATTGCAATTTTCCACTGGGGAGCTGAAGCTACTTGCAAATTTTGTGCTTATTTGGTGTTATGAGTCAGTTTTCTGGGTGGTTATTAAGCCTAGCACTGAATTGCACATGATTTTGAATGGAATCTTTTTTTGTTGACAGTTATTATATATATATATATATATATATATAGAGAGAGAGAGAGAGAGCGCGCGCGTGCGCGCGCGCATTTTTAGGCTAAATCCTTGCTGGGGATATCAGCTAAATGACAAATATGAGAATCCTGCAGCTTTTCGAACACTTCTAGCCTTCTTTCGGTGCACCTCATTATATAAATTAATGATCAACTGTGAGTTTTCACATTGTAACTTAGTCCAGTCAGTATAGAAGTTACATAAAGGTTTGTTTCAGTGGATTGTTCCTTCCACTCAATGCTGGGTTGTATCTTCAGACAAAATAGCCAGTATTTAATATTTACTCTTTTGTATTCCCTTACAGATGTACAAGCACGCAAATAACAAGACCATGACAAGTGGAGCCATTGCAGCCATGCTGTCAACAATTCTGTACGGAAGGCGCTTCTTCCCGTACTATGTTTACAACATAATTGGTGGGCTTGATGAGGAAGGTAAGCTGTTCCTCATGATTGAATTCCAGCAGGCTTGGTTTATTTTCACTGGGTACTTCATTTTACTTTTAAAAACCTTTTAAATGTCCCTTCAAATCTTACAAAACGAACCAGCCAAAAAGAAAACCAAGACTAATATTTAAAAAGAGAATCTTTTAAATCTTTTTCCAACTTACAAAAAGCCATGTTTCTCTCTTGTTCAAGGTCGAGGTGCCGTGTACAGTTTTGATCCAGTTGGATCCTACCAGAGGGACACTTACAAAGCAGGCGGATCAGCGAGTGCGATGCTGCAGCCACTGCTCGACAATCAGGTAAGGAGATAACAGATTTACGTACAGTAGAAAGTATTTATTAGCACAGGCAGTGTGAAATGTTAATGTAGCAGCTGCTTTCTTTGGAAATCAGAGCTGACTAGTCTGAATTATTGCTCAAATAATATGAGACATCTAACCAGCCATAAGTTTTTCGTATGTTTAATTAAATGACTGTATCTGAGATGGATCAGTCAAGCAGAAGAAGATTTTTCAGTTGTATGCTGTTAAATAGATCACCCATGTGTGGTCCCTTCAGAATTTGTCAGTTATTCTACACCAGGGGTCGGCAACCCTAATGTTAAGAGCCATTTTGCCCCGTTTCAACAATAATTGAAGCAGCTTGAGAGCCACAACGTTTCATATCCGTTTTATTGAAGTGACGTTTTACTGTCTTGGCTGTAAATATGCTCCGCATGTGCTAATGTCCAAGTATACACTAAAAATATATAATGTAAACAGAAATGCAGACTTACTTTGCACTGCTTTAAGCTTTAGCTCAGCTATAGCCACTTTTCTCGCATCTCCGGCAGAAAATCCCCAGCCGCCAAGGTTTTATTGCAAGTTTAGTTAGTGCAAAGAATGATAGAGAACAATTGGTCAAAAAAATTATGTTGGCATCAGACAGGTGTTTAGATTTGACCAATATTTCATACTGGTATTTTATACCGGTATTTCATGATGTATTTATTGTTATTGAGCCAAATGTTTAGGTGGCGCTGAGTTACTGCGCTGAAATATCTGCGTTATATTAGTTTTACTACTTCAGCACTGCTACAGAAACAAATGTTATTTCTGTGCAATGCTTATCCAGGTGGATCAAGTCCCAATTTCTACATTTTGTAAATGTTTATGTATTAGCATCAGCAGATGTGTACTTGAAAAATATTGAATATCTCCATAGATCGATCCCTAAAATATATGTATATTATTAACAAACAAGTTTAGCAACAAACCTTATTAAACACTAAATTGTTATCCAGTGCATTGGATAGTCATAGAGTGAGTTTACATGCACTTAATAATCCTATAACTGCAGAAAATCGGATTTTGTCAGTAAACTGATCAACACGTTTACCTGCACTTGAGTAATCAGATAATGGGGATTACCAGGTCTACATGAATCAAGCAGTAATCAGATTTCTGCTTTACAACCAGCCGATAAAATTGCAGAAGACGACGTGACCTAAATGTTTCAGTGTCACTCCAAAAGTGTTCTGCTGCGTCTCACAGCAACGCTGCTCGCTTATTTCCGGTACACGCTGTCTGTTTTCGCACATGCACAGACTGAGAAATCAGAGTAAGAGTTCGCATGCACTGAGATATTCTGATTACTGAGCTAAAATCTAGCTCTGTTTATCAGATTTCTTTATCGGACTGTGCTGTTTACATGCCCGTCTGAATAATCAGATAACTGCAGAAATCCGATAATGATCGGATTATTGAGTGCATGTGAACGCACTCACTGTGTGTGTGAAAATGACACAAAACTCCTGGTTAGGAATTAGGAATTTTTTAATTAATTTAATAAGCTAAATATTCCAGTAAAACCTTTTTTTTTATTCTGACCAACCTTGGAGATTCTTAGACAAAAAATGCTTTTACAAAATAGCAAAGTAGTACTTCTGCTTCATGTCTTTTCACTTGAATTTTTAATGCTTAAACAATCAAATTAGCTAACCGCTTAGACTAAACCTGCTTTCTTTATGCTCAGATCGGATTCAAGAACATGGAGAACGTTGAGCACGTGCCCCTGACCCTGGAGAAGGCCGTGCAGCTGGTGAAGGACGTGTTCATTTCTGCTGCGGAGAGAGATGTGTACACCGGAGACGCCCTCAAAATTTGCATCGTCACCAAGGAGGGCATCCGGGAAGAGGTGATCCCGCTCAGGAAAGACTGAGGAGCCTTTTCAGTCATGCCAAAATCCCTCTTCTGTTTTCCTTCACTCTGGATTTTTTGCTCTGCTGTTCTTTTTATATTCTATCTCAAGAATAAAAATAATTAATAGATCACAGAGTATCGTATCATTTATTTGACATTGTATTCAGGCTGTCTTTTCTCTATGAATTCTCAACCTTAGGATATGAAGTGAAAAGGCAGAAACTCACTGGGAACATTTTGTGGGGGGGTATGTTGGTATAAGGAGGTGTCAGACTAGGCAGTGTAGAAGAAACTTCATCAAGAAGCCTTATTAAACCAGGATTGATTAATATGAATATGGGGTCGTTCAGCTGATTAATTATAATAATTCTGTGGTGCTATATGTTTCCATGGTTATGAAATGATCAATATTCTGAGGCTGGTTTTCTGTTGTTTAATCTTAAAGGGGCATTTTGGCATAGAACTGATAAATAGCATATCGTCACTGTCAGGACAAAACCTTGCATCTCTCAATTTGTTATTTTTCATTTTTTGACATATTTTGAAAAAGCCAGCTGCTCTTTATGTTGGCTTTGTTTTTTATTTTATTTATTTTGTGATGATTGGACCAACAGAAATGGTCCAAAATCACTTCGAAAATTTTTTTTCCATTAACTTTCATTAAAAGTCAAGAAAGTTTTTCCTTATCCTGTAAAGTTACCTTTCTGGAGATGAGGCTTTGTTGTGACAGCAGCGATATTTTGTCGTATTATGTAAACATATATATTATGTAAAGAGTGTAGGATTGTAGCCCTCAGGTTCCATGGTTTGACAGAATTTCATCAGAACTTTATTTCGTCCTTTAATCCGTTAATGTTCTCTCACTACAGTACCTACATGCATTACACTAAAACACCATAAATCAAGAGGAGTCCCTCTAGCAGTGATGAATAAATTGCCTCTAATGTAGTGGCTAATAAATAGACCTTCCTGGTAGTAACATTAGCTAGCTGGCTTTCTTATACATAGGCCAGCTAAAACTTCGAAGTGCCCACCGCAAAATTGAATTGAATTCAGAACCATTAGCCAACTGTGTTTGCACACTGTGGAATTAGACCTCCGCATTTAACCCATCTGTGCAGTGAAACACCCACATACATGCACACTAGTGAACACACACACTAGGGGGCAGTGAGCACACTTGCCTAGGGCGGTGGGCAGCCCTATCCACAGCGCCAGGGGAGCAACTGGGGGTTAGGTGCCTTGCTCAAGGGCACTTCAGTCATGGACTGTCAGCCAAGGGGTCACAGGGCTGGTTCCTTAACCTCCAGCCCATGACTGCCCCCCTAAACTATTGTAGTTGATCAGGTTCCTCCCACTTTCAAGATGCATTCACCAGAAGGGAGTTTTACTAGTCTTTAAACCTAAAAAAAAAGCTCACTCTGCACTGTTAGAAATAAAGGTTCTGTGCAGGTACATTTTTTGTTAATCAAGGTACAAACAGTGTAAATGTTCCCTCAAAGCTCCAACAGTGGTTTTAAGGTCTGATTGTGAACCTTAAATAAGTTTTTCCAGGCGAAAAGTTCGTATTTGTATCTTTTCATAACCGAATGTTTTAAACAGAACAGTAAAATAAAAGCCTGGAGGCGAGACGGGGTGTGTGGAGTCAGCACAGCTTAGAACATATCATTTCAGTGGATTATGGTTCAGTTATGTTTCCTGACTAACGGTACTGAGATGGACCCTTGAGGAAACTACCTGAGTGACAGTTTAGTATCATTTTTCTGAGAGTGTAGAGCAGTGGTCACCAATCCTGCTCCTGAACATCTACTTTCCTGTGGGGTCTAGTTCCAACCAAACTGCTGCACCCGCTCCAGCTAATTCTCCATAAATCCTTGATTGGCCGAATTAGATGTGTTGGCATCAGGTAAAAGGGAGAGGCATCATGTAAGATGCAGGTCGGAAATAAACTGAGGGAAAGTAGATCTCTGGGGTCAGGAGTGGTGACCACTGCTCTGGGGTCTGCAGCAAAGATTTACGCTGTAAGCGTGTTTAAATCTGATGGTTAAATTTTTCATTTCGGCTGGACTGTCCTTTTAACTCTATACTGTTGTTCCCACAGTTACACACTGCAAAGAAAGGTCTCTTGTCAAATGAAATCATTTTATATCTAGTCGATATATCTAATATTTCCCATTTTGAGATGGTTGTGCACCATCTTGCAAGATTATTTATTTTTAGACATCACATTTTGCTGGTTTCAAGCACATTTTCTAAAACAAAAAAACTATCGGCCAACATAGTGCGATAAGTTTACTTAGTAAAATTACTTACAACAAGTAAAAATGTCTAGAAATGAGATAATCTTCTTAAATTAAGCTTACAACAGTCTCAACAGGAGAAATATTAGGTTTATTGACAATATTTAAGATAATTTTACTTGACAATATACTATTTTTTGCAGTGCAAAATCAAAAAATCAAGACATGATTTTGTGAAGCTTTTAATTTTTTTGTTTTATCCCTTTCATATTCAGCAGCTGACTTTGGTACGATAAGGAAAGATGGACTGAGCATGGACAAAGCAATGGTGCCCAGTCAGCTAGCGATCGTTAGCTTTCTCTTTCCTGACGTTGCCATTTACATTGTATGTTGTATTTTTACATTTAATTTTATCACATTACATTATGTTCTGTTACCAAAACAACTTCAGAAATAAAATATGAAAAAAATAAGAAGCTAAAGAATAAGAAGTTGTATATAATCATTCTCCCTTTTGACAGCTTTCTGGGGGGCCAAATCAAATGGCCCACTTTGGGCCGCCCTGATTTATAGTAATGAAATTAAGCACAACTGTACGCAGAGTTTCTGATTCTGTACTTTTATTTACATATAGATGGGTTTTTCAGTTGTTTTGAAGAATTTCTACAGATTTGTAGTCAGGGAACATTTCAGGAAATTAACATTTTTAGACATGGGCATTAAAAAGGGGAATTCCACCAGTTTTTAAAAAATTCTGCCCAATTCAGACATTGAGATGCCAACAAAGTCATTCAAAGTGGTTAGAGCTGAAATGGTTTATTGTAGAGTAACTTAGAGTCAGATCTCTTTACAGTGGTGGTGATAGGAACCAGGGGTCGCCATGTGTACGACACAAATATAGCCATTTTATTTGCTATCCAAAACGACCAGTGAACCTACACGTGTCTTCTGACGTGTTATATGTAATGTTGATGATGGTAAAATAGTGGAAAACAAACCCTGCATTGAAGGAAAAAAGGCCAAAATCTTTATGGTAAGTCACAATTTTTTCAGATCTTTCTGTGAGGGAGCTTTAGAGGTGGACGTCTGGTTCCCATCACCACCACTGTGAGCAATTCTGACTCGGCAAGTTTCTCTAGAACGGAGCATTTTACACCAAACCACTCCGAATGGCTTCACATATGCAGAAATTTTGAAAAGTCGTTGGATTTCCCCTTTGACGTGTTAATCCTAATAAGGCGAAGGCGCGTTGCCACAGCAACAGCGTTGAACATGAAACCTGTCCCAGAGTATCAACAAACGCTGAGCTGAATGCTAAGCCTGTTTTAAAGAGTTGAGGGAAGGTTTTTGGTCCAGAATGGATAACTGTGATCTAGAAAAGCTTTCAGTGGATGGAGTAAAACTTTGCCCTCCATTCCAGCCCGAAATAACACTTTATACAGCGACTATTCCCGAGTAACACCAGCTCAGCTACCCTCGACCTGCTAACGAGCGACTGCGGAGCTTCCTATAGGATAGTAAGTAGGCTAACCTGAGCAGACCTCACAACGAGCAATTAAAGTGATATTTCACTGACTTTTCAAAATTATCTGCATAATTAAGTGGTTAAGATGTAAACAGAGTCATTCAGAGTGGTTTGGTGTGAAATGCTCTGTTCTAGAGAAACTTAAAGAGTCAAATTTGTTCACAGTGGTGGTGATAGGAACCAGACGGCCACCTCTAAAAGCTCCCTCACAGAAGGTTTATTACAATAAATGGTTATGAATTCACTGCCTGATGTCTGAGGCACTGTTTTAGGATAGTTTTGAGAAGATTTTGGACTAAACGTATTGTATTAAATCCATTTGTGGTGACGTTTTTGCACATGCAGTATGGTGTGAGGCAAAATAGTCCCCGTAGAATTTATTTATTTAATTTTTCTTCAGATTTGCTACTATTTTACCATCATCAACATAAATATGAAAGCTCAGAAGACACATGTAGGTGGTTTCAGATAGTAAATAAAATGGCTATATTTGTGTTGTAGCCATGGTGACCCTTGGTTCCTATCGCCACCACTGTAAAGACAAGTTTTTCTAAAGTGAACCATTTCACATCACACCACTCTGAATGACTCTGTTTTAAGGGCTGCTCGAATATGGCAAAAATCATAATCATGATTATTTGGTCAGTATTGAAATCGTGATTATTTAACATGAATACTATATATTCATATATATTGGCTTTGGACATCATACATTTATTGAACTTAAAAAAAAAACAAAACTGTAACTTAACTATTAACTTAACAGTGAATTTCCTTGAACTTTAAATATAATTGAGCTGGAACACAAATAAAAAAATAAATGTAAAAATGATAAACAAATAATACACTATATAATTACATATATACGCTCTTAAAAATATGGTTCTTCAAAGGTTCGTTAGTAAAGACAGTGGTTCGAGTTAGAACCATGAACACTCAAAGCTTAAAGGGTTCTTTGCATGGTAAAATGGTTCTTCAGACAGATGGAGAATGTGCTGTATGTTGTTCTATAGAGCACCAAAAAGGATTCTGCTGTTGTTACAATGTCAAGCTTGTAACAACAGAAGAATTCTTTTTGATGCTATACAGAACCATTTTCAAAAAGGTTCTATATAGAACCATATAGAACACATTCTCCATCAATCTTAAGAACAATTTAATCATGCAAAGAGCCTTTTAAGCATGCAAATGGTTCTTTGAGTGTTCATGGTTCTAAGTAGAACCATTGTCCTTACTAGGACCACCTTTTTAACAGTGTACGTTTAAATAAATAATTTGAAAATAGTAAATACAATTAAATAAGATCAAATTAAACAGGATCAACTATGTTATATTGCACTTCCACAACCTACTGAAACTACTAAACATATATAAAAATCATTACTAAGAATAAATTAGTCCAAAATACATTAGATCAAGGGTTCTCAACCTTTTCCACCTCAAGGCCCACCTGTTCATCACTAGAAAGCATGAAGACCCACAAGAAAACAAAACTCAACGTTTTTGAATTTTTAACAGAGTGATGTTTGGGTGCCCTTAGCCTACCCTTGAAATATGTGATGTGTATCAGTGGACATAAAATGTCAGTAAAATATTGGTGCGAGTGGACAACTGAAAGGTCAGGTGTTTCTAGAGGCAAAGGGCAAAAAAACTGATGAAGCTGCCTTTGTGCACTGCTATTGTGGGGCTTGTATTAATGTTGTTAACTGTCTGAAAAAGGTTTCATATTTCTTTTTTATTGTTAAGTCAAATATTTTTAAACTGATTTTTATAACAGAATGCCATCACAGGCCCACTACGGACTACTGCCCCCCTGAGTATAGGCCCAAGGACCACCGAGGGGTGCTTCGTGGCCCACTTGTGGTCCTTGGCGGATTCAGAAGTGGTTAAGAAACCCTGCATTGGATGAGTTTGGGCTTTTAGGAAGGGGCGAAAGGCGTATGCGCTGGATTCGTAACACCAGAACCAAACGAGAGCATCACTGTGGAACAGAATGCAGCACAATTTCGATTATCTTGTTTTCATAATCGCTGGAAGCCAAAATCATAATTGAAAATAAAATTTTATTAATTGCCCAGCCCTACTTTATTGACATCTAAACAATTAATTAAGCAGAATCTTGGTGGAATTGCCCTTTAACTTACATGCCTGTTTGCTGTGTTCGAGTTATGCGGTGATGGATCAAGGACAGTAAAATTGGAAGACGGCTTAAACCAAGTGGACATTGAGGTGACAGCAGAGGACGGCACGTTGAAGAAATACAGCATCGAGCTGACCAAGCTTTCGGCCAGTGGGGCCAGTTTGAGTGCCCTGATTATAAAGAGACAGCAGCTCCACCCTGCATTTTCTCCAGACACTTATGAGTACTCATGTAAGTGTTTCCTGCAGTTGATTTTAAGATGTGCTCATATCAACTTTCCCTGATAACCTGCATCAGTGTTACCTGTTTAGGCCAGGTGAATTTTGACTGTCATGTGGTCACTGTGGAAGCCCAAGTGCCTGACCACAACATGCAGGTCACAGTGAAGGAGGCCTGCAGCTCCGGGTTTGTGAGGTTAAACGTCGGAGACACGCTGGTCACTGTCAAAGTCTCATCACCAGATGGCACCAATTCCCAAGTAAGCTGTGAAAGCTACCGACATCCAGAGCATGACATAATATAGATGCTGACTGCGATACTAACACTGATTTCGGAGGTGGGGGAGGCACCTTCATGGGTGTCAGCAATGTGGGAAGTTAATAGTGAGTAAATTTAGCAACAGTGAGCTAAACATCTTAGTTATGTAAGACTGTCAAATTATTGACACAGTTCTAATGCTTGAATTCTCTGCATGATTTTATGCACTGCAACACTGATTGGCTGATCGATTAATTGCTTGACTGAGCTGTGAGTGGTGATATTCATCATTCGCATATGATTTACAAGCAAATACAGTGCAGTCCAGATAAACAACTAGGCAGTGACAGTTTTTCCTGTGTAGCCTCTGCACTCCAGCACATCAGATTTGAAATTAAAGTGTGAACTGTCAGCTTTAATACAAATTTAAGTATGTCTATATCAGTTGTAGGAATTACTGCTGTTTGTAAGTTTACTTTTCCTTATTTAATACCAGAAATAGTTGGCTGCTGTTGTTTCTTGGCTGGCTGTATGTCACTGCATCATTAGTTCAAGCACAGGAGAGCTAACAAATGTTATGTAGGGTCAAAACAGCAAAAATGGTCACTGTCCATTTACTTACATAATGCACTGTATTTCTGAAGGGATACTTTGCATTTTGTTGCCATATGGCAACAGCATGTGACAGTGGAACAGCAGGGAGTAAACCAGTACGCTACCATCAGACACAGCCACATTCATCCTCCATGAAAAAATCATGTGCATAACATCTATGTATGCATACGCATTTAAAGAACATAAGAACATACGTTTGACAGTTATAATAATAAAAGAAGAATGAATTTAAAAAATGTCGAAATGGCGGCATATTAATTCACTCATATTGTATGCATTGCAGATTGTAGTTCTATTGTCATGCTGTTTCCAAATTTATTGTAGTTTTTGCAAAAATTCAAAGGAAAGTATTTCTTTTTCTTGCTGTGTGACAACAACATGCAGTAAAGGGCTAAGATTGTCTGATAGGTTGCTGTATTTTGGCTGATGAAGACGTCTTGTGTTTTCAGGTGTACACAATCATGATTACTCGGGAACAGATTCCTTTAGCCGTCACCTTCTGCGAGATGAAAGACCAGATGGAGTTTGAGTGTCCCGTGTCTTTAAGTGCACTTTATAGACCTGTGTCAATAAATCAGAGGTAGGAAACAATTCAATAACTGTAATATTGCCTTTGTTACACACAGGTTTTTAAAGGTATAAGATGCTCGGAGATGTTTATTCTGTATAGTATTTAATAATAACAAATACTAATATTAAATTATAACAAATATTTATTATTAGTAATTATAATATAATTGTTGTCGCTGTTGATTGAGAACTGGGATTGAGGTCTGGTGTTTTTGCTGGTCAGTCAGATTGTCTGTGTTCCATCATGTCTGTTGAAGCAGTCACATATAGACACGTTACAGTCGTCATCCTGGAATGTGGGAGTGTCAGTGTTTTTCTATTCTGACATTAAGCTCCAGTTTAGTGGGAAATGTGGACTAAAATGGACCGGAACTTAAGAGAGCTGACAGGACTGATCCTATCATTAAAGGGCCCATATCCTACATTTTTCATACATTTTATTTTTTCCCCTGAGGTCCATTCATAATGTTAGTGTGGTTTTATGTACCAACAACTTTATTACTTTTTACATGACCATTTTCCATCATCCTTTTATCCCTCAGAACTGATCAGGCTGTTTTTTATTATTGTGCCTTTTAATTTGTTTAATGTGCTCTGTGCTGATTAGTTGCCCTGTATGCTTCATTCAAAAGCAGTGCAGGCTAAACAGCTGTATACGGAGCCCTGCTGGTGACATCCTGTATAAATAAAATTAATGTGTTGTCATATTAACGCGTAGGAACAAGATCCTAATGCGTGGCCACAACTTGGTAAGGTGTGGGAATGAGATAATTAAGTCGTGGTCTTGACTTATCAAGACATGGGAACGAGATCATTCCTTATTAAACTGTGGCCCAGGATTATTTATCTCACTCCCACGCCTTACTAAGTCGTGGCCATGACTTAATTATCTCGTTCTCATGCTTTGCTAAGTCGTGGCCACACATTATTATTACTTGTAAGGTATGTCACCAGCTGTAGGCTGAATAGGTGGCTGAATATTAATGTTTTAGTTTTTGTGACATCACAGAATCAACCTGTTTTTGCAGCTTAGTTTCTTTTTATATATACACATGTATGGACTGGGGAGTGAATGGCATGTTTTGACAGCATTGTTTACATATTACGTTAAACTCATTTATTTAAAAAAGAGGTATATTAACTTTTCCACGATATGGGCCCTTTAAGGCAGCTGGACGCTTAACCAAGTATTAGAGAAGAAATGATGCATGCAGTGCTATTTTTATCTGGGGAGCTTATGTTTTATGCATTGAGTATCATACAGTAACTTTGAAAGTGGCTCCGCTTTCAGGTTTAAGATGTTGCAGTGACTGTATGATGCTTATTTTAACATGTTTTATGCAGTGACCCAAAGGCCATCTTCTCAGCCCCATATATTGACATGCTGACACGGAGGTCAAAGGTGCATCCATTTACTGACAGACCTTTGGGAGACTCATGGAAAGTTCCAGAGGGTCAGCTCGACAAGAGAATGTCCAGCACATCCGTCAAATGTTTCTTTGCACATCGTGGTATGAATATCATTTCAGAAAAAACTCAGGCTCATCAAAACTGTAACAGTGCATGTGAAGCTTGTTTAATGAATGGTGCTTATGGTTGTCATTAATATTTAACAATTGGCTGCTTAGGTTGTAAAAGCGTGCTGAAACTTGCAGAGATTGGAGCACACGCAAAAGACTGTCCCAACAGGCCGCCAGTCAACCTGGATACAAAGGTCCTAGATATTACATTTAGCAGTATTTTAAAATATTTCATATTAAACATGTGACTTTTTTGTCTGATTCCTCATTTACCTTCTTAAATCCTAATAGGAGGTCACTGAAACAAACTGGTACAAAAAACATTTCACATCCTCAAGAAACCTGGAAATTGAGACAAAGCACTCTCTTCAGGTGGAGGCAGCATTTTCATCAAAATGTTTCACCTTTTCAGGACTTTTAAATGAGCGTACCTTAAGCAAACCTCTTCTTGTTGCTCTATAAGGTTCGAAACTGGGAGAAAAGGCTTCAGACTGCAGTGGGACGAGGGCAATATAGACGACTTGTGCAGTCATGCTGAGAGCCAGATAAAGCTGTACAAAGAACGGCTTCCCAAACCAGGTGTGATACTCTTCAGTCAACAAGGCAAAATGGTACACTCATAAAAAAAGGGGCCACAAAGCGTTCTGTGGAACGGTGCAATAGAACTTTTGGTCCTCTTAAAAGAATGGTTCAGCGAAAAAGTATACCCAGTTTTTCACGTAATTGATCAGCTAAGACACGTCTGGAGTCCAAATTTTGCTTCCTTAGATTAGACCTGGTGCTACAAGGCTAATGTTGCTAACAAACACTAGAAATCAGTAGTCACCCAAATAGTCCAAATCATGTCTGTAGAAACTCCCCCCAAAACTTCTCTCAACCCACTCAAACTGCATCCAGCTCTATATTAAAGTGGCTGGCCACAATTTCATTTATATAGCTCACAGTAAGTCCTACTGTATCCTAAACCATATAGACAAACCAGCATGACCTCAATGAAGACCTGGATGCAGTTTGAGTGGGTTGACAAACCAGCAAGTTTTTGGGATGTATTTTTACAGAAACTGTTTTGACTATTTGGGTGACTATTGAGTTCTTGTGTTTGTTAGCTACATTAGCCTCGCTGCTCCAGTTTTAATGTAAAGAAGCAAGACTTGGACTCTGAACATGTCTCAGTCAATCGACTCCATCTGGGTCAAGTGGAAAATTGTGTAGATTTGATATTTTGACAAACCACTCCTTAAAGAACCTTGCAATGGGTGGTTGCATCTAGGGCTGGGCAATAAGATGATATTTTATTGTTATCGTGATAAATGATGTCACAATATGTTTTTGTAAGCATGTCACTTTGTTGTTATTTGAATGTACTGTAATGCAGTACATAATACTGAACAAAAAATATAAATATATAAAAATATTTTTTTATGATGTTGTTTTTGGTAGTATTTGTAAAGATGCAGCAGTACTGGGGCTTTTTGCTTTGTGCTAACTTACCCTCTAACTCGGAAACCTGAAATATCATTGTGTATTATGATAATGTTTTGAAGTATTGTGATATTACATTTTTGCCATATTTCCCAGGTTACATTGTTGCCAGATCTGTTCTTATGTGGGTCAAATAACTTTCATTACAACTGTTAATTTGAATATAATGAACTGTATGTTGCTGTTTAAGTTATAGACCTGATCCAGTTCTCGCTCACTACAACTAGAACTCTGCTTCTTTATGATTGATTTTAATCCTGTGGCAGTCAGGACCAATCAGAGTGCTTTTTGTAACTGAGTAATCTACATAGACGTCATACCACCTGTTTTTCTCCATGCTTTTTATTTTATTTTTTACCTAAAAAAGTAAGTTAATATGAAAAGATACACCTTTAAAAACTTGGGTAGCAAAAGGTAAAAAATTAAGGACCATGTTGTACCTTTGAAGGTAGATTTGCTTTGTTTGTACTTTGGATGACTCAGATATCTGACAATGTTTAGAACAGACCTTAATCTTTAAAGAGAAAATGTGGTTGTTGTATGGAAACTGTGTGCTACTCACTCTGCTTTTCCCTCTTGAGACAGTTCTGGGGTATCAGTTAAAGTGAAATGTTTGATTATTGGTTACCAATCAACCACAGATGAAAAGACAGAGACAAATTATACCTAACGGGGTGCGCTGATTTGTAGGATGTCTTCTGCTATCTCTAATGCTTAGAGGTTGTGACATCAGAAAGCAATAAAAAATTGAACACTCTCATTCTCACTGACCCGTAATGGTGGAGAGAAAATACTGTGGTGCTTGGCCATACAAAGTGTATCAGTGTCTTTTTTTTGTACCTGCTAATCTTTCCTTTTTACTTTTGCAGGTGATGTGTTGCAGTATGAGGCAGGACAATCACCTCTGGATTGTTTGGAACAGGCAGCCATCCACTATGCTACTGCCATCAAATTCAAGCCCAGGGATTCCAAACTGCATTTCCTGCTTGGAAAGACTCTAGAGGAATACTACTATGCTACAGAAATGTATGGCCTGAAAAAGAGGGTATGGGAGAGAGACTCAAATTCACCAGTCAGTGAGGAAAAATAGGACAAGAATACATGCGTGTTTTTGTACAGTGGTGAACAGCACATGCATGCCGCTACTAGATCTGTATTCTGGGTTGTTAAAGACCGGCCCAAACAAAATGATACGCTGAGTTGACAGTTAATTAGGTACACTTACGATTTATCTACACTCATTGGTGTAGACAGTCAGTTATATTACAGGAGCACTTTGTACCTTACCATTACTGACTGTAGCTCATCTGTTCATTCATCAGCAATTCATCAGCTGTTGTGGAAAGGGACCACTATAAGACCACCAATAAGCAAATATAATTTGTATGGGTGACACCAGTGTTGTAGAGGCATGGTAGTTTGCTATGGAGCTGGTACAAATGAGTTGGGAGTGGTCAGCTAAGGACAAATATCCAGCCAACTGTGGTCCTGTGGTCAGAAACTGCCTCTTAATGAAAAACTAGATGACAAACACAAATAATGTTTGCAAACAGAGGGGATATAGTTTCTAACTGTACACCTACAAGGTTCAGTGTGTCTAACAGAGTGGTCAGTAAGAGTACACAGTGTTTAAAAACTCCAGCAGCACCAGTGCCACGTATATTACCATGTCAGTGTCACTGCAATGCTGAGAACCCCCCCCGTCACATATGGGGCTTATGTGAAAACTGAAAACTCAAAGGGCCAGTGAAGCGGAAGTTCTTACATGGCAATTGTTTGTCTCCTAGGTTCTTGAGGAAGATGACCGAAATCTTAATGAAGCCCAGACTACCGGGAGGCAGGAGGAGATCTTGGCCATTTGCAGGCTTCATGGCTTCTTGGGAACACCCACAGTAGAGAACCAGCTGAAAGCCCTCGACAGAGAGTTCCACCAGCTGAAAGAGCAGGGCCAGTCAGGGAAGGCTGATTATGTCCAGACTCTTTTCATCTGGCTTTCCAAAAAAGCTGGAAAGGTTTGCAGTGCAATGTTTGTCATAATGGAATGTGCTCATTATGGGTTTGGTTCTGCGTATTGTGTTCTGTTGAGACAATATATCTCTGGTGTTTATGCATGAAAAAGTATTTAGTGTTCTGCTGTATGGCTGTTTATGTGTTACAAAAAGGTGACATTTGAATGCAACTAAAGAACTGTGATGCACTCTTACTGGAACAGCACTGACAGTGTTCACTGTATTCTAATAGTAGTTACAGTGTTAGCTGTATTGTTACAGCAGCTACAGAACTGACTATATTGTTATAGCATTGACTGTATTGTTACAGTAGCTACAGTGTTGACTGCATTTTTACAACAGTTACACTGTTGACAGTATTGTTACAGAAGCTAGTGTTGACAGTATTGTTACAGAAGCTACAGTGTTGACAGTATTGTTACAGAAGCTACAGTGTTGACTGCATTTTTACAACAGTTACACTGTTGACAGTATTGTTACAGAAGCTACAGTGTTGACAGTATTGTTACAGCAGTTATATTGTTGACTTTATTGTTACAGCATTTATCGTTATAGCAGTTAGAGTGTTGACTATTGTTACAGCAGTTTGAATGTTGACTTTGTTCTTATAGCAGTGACAGTGCAGTTTGCTTTGTTACAGCAGTTTCAGTGTTGACTGTAATGACTGTACAGCTACAGTGTTGACTATTGTTACAGCAGTTATACTGTTGACTTTATTATTACAGGAGTAGCATTGGCCTTATTGTTTTAGCAATTGGAGTGCTGACTGTATTCTTACAGCAGTTATATTGTTGATTGTATTCTTATAGCAGTTACAGTGTTGACTGTGTTCTTACAGCAGTTGCAGTGTTGATTGTATTCTTACAGCAGTTACAGTGTTGACTGTACTCTTACAGTTGCTACAGTGTTGATTGCTTTGTTAGAGCAGTTACTGTTGACTGTGCAGTTACAGTGTTGACTGTATTAACAGTTCAGTTACAGTGTTGACTGTATTCTTACAGCAGTTACAGTGTTGACTGTATTCTTGCAGCTGTTACAGTGTTGATTGTATTCTTACAGCAGTTACAGTGTTGACTGCTTTGTTAGGGCAGTTATAGTGTTGACTGTATTCTTACAGCAGTTACAGTGTTGATTGCTTTGTTAGAGCAGTTATTGTTGACTGTGCAGTTACAGTGTTGACTGTATTCACAGTTCAGTTACAGTGTTGACTGTATTCTTGCAGCAGTTACAGTGTTGACTGTATTAACAGTTCAGTTACAGTGTTGACTGTATTCTTACAGCAGTTACAGTGTTGACTGTGGTCTTACAGCAGTTACAGTGTTGACTGTATTCTTACAGCAGTTACAGTGTTGACTGTGGTCTTACAGCAGTTACAGTGTTGACTGTATTCTTACAGCAGTTACAGTGTTGACTGTATTCTTACAGCAGTTACAGTGTTGACTGCTTTGTTAGGGCAGTTATAGTGTTGACTGTATTGTTTCAGGACCACAAGGCTGGAGTGTGTGATGAGGAGAGCTGGCTCCACAGAGCCTTTCTGAAGTACCTGGACGCCTGGTCTCTGAGTCCAGAGAGATGGGAGTTAAACCTGCAGGTGGGCCGTCTGCTGCTCTTACAGGGGAAGAGCAGAGAGGCACTGCAGCATCTACTCTCTGCATTGGCCCTGACACCCTCACAAGCAGCGCTCAGGTCAGACCTGGCCACTTTTTGGTTGGAATTTTTGTAGGATTGTGTAGTTTCCAGTTTATTAGGTACACCTAGGTACCTACACTTATTGGCCATTGATAATTTACACTGTAGGTCCAGAAGTATCCAGACAGCCTTTCTGAATGGTGAATTCAGCTTCTTTAAAGTGAACTCATTGCTGACACAGGACTTCAATTGAGCACACAGCTTGTACAATCCCCATAGAAGCACTGACCAATAGAATGGTATGCTCTGGGGCAGCCGCACTTGAGCCTGAGGTCAGCATGCCTGATGTCAAGTGTCAGGATTCAGCCACCAGAGCATTATTGAGGTCAGGTACTAATGTTAGATAACTGGATCTCAAACACCACTTCAAATCCCCCCCAGCATTGTGCAGTACCTCACCTTACTATTGCCCTCGTGGCTAAATCCTGCAGCAGTATTCCACATTTAGTGTAAAGCCTTCCCAGAAAAGTAGAGATGTAATGTTTTTGCCGCAAAGGGTGGCTAACACTCTATCAACACACTTGATTTTGGGAAAAAACACGGATGTACTTGTGTCCAAAACTAGACACTTGTGTCTAGTTATGGACATACAGTGTACTATATAAGGCAGTGTTGTGTTGCTGCAACATGCATCTATAGTTTTAGATCAGATAAGCTTTATACTTAACCAAAAGCCTTGTCACTGCAGGTTCTACATGGGCCTGGCTGTCCTGCAGCAGGATGGAGCATCAGTGGAAGAGGAGCAAGAGGCAATTCTGTTCCTCCAGCAGGGCCTAGAGTATGTTATGGACCAGTACTTTACCTCACCAGAGCAAGACCGGTGAGGAACATGACCATTTAATCATTCTAAATTAGCTAAAAGAGTTATTTGACACAAACAGAGTTGGGCAGAAAAAGTGATGGATAAATGCAAAATACATTGTCCTAACTGTATTCAATAAAGTTCATTACAGTACGCGAAAAAGTAAACTTATGTAAAATATGTTTAGAACTCATCTTGATAAGACACATTGGAAAAAAATCTCCTTTTAATGCGTTTAATAAAAAATTGCTTATCATTTGAAGAACGATCTACAATCCTCAACATTTTTTTTTATTTATTTTATGACATTTTAGCTGTCTTAATTTTGATAATAAATAATCATAATAAATCACCATAGCTTTAAAAACAATCATGATGCAGTCCTTAAAACTCACTTTGTCAAATAAATAAATATGGAATTTTGAGTATACATATATGCCCTGCGATGAACTGGCGACCTGTCCAGGGTGTATCCTGCCTTCCGCCCAATGACAGCTGGGATAGGCTCCCGCACCCCACTGCGACCCAGAAGGATAAGCGGTTTAGATGATGGATGGATGGATGAGTATACATATACATGTTGTCAAATTTATTGTCCCACTTGTGACAAATGCACTAAAACAAAATTATTTAATAAATATTTTCTTTCAAAAATAAATATTTTTTTCCAGAGAATGTTGTTTGTGTGTTTACTATGGAAATTAATAAAAGTTATAAATAAATAAATAAACAAATAATTTTCCAATTTGAATGTGAATTGAGTAGCTATGTGATTATTTACATGCCACAAAGTTTAGTACAGCACTAATGCTGAGCTTATCACTCATCAATGTGTCCACTACTAAAGAGAGCATGTCCACTATTTTGGAGATTTATCAGTCTACTCAGGCTTTAGCAGAGCTCAGTAACACAGTGATTAATAACTGATCACATTGATTTATCAGTCTACTCAGGCTTTAGCAGAGCTCAGTAACACAGTAATTAATAACTGATCATCACATTGATTTATCAGTCTACTCAGGGCTTTAGCAGAGCTCAGTAACACTGAGATTAATAACTGATCACATTGATTTATCAGTCTACTCAGGCTTAAGCAGAGCTCAGTAACACTGAGATTCATAACTGGTCACATTGATTTATCAGTCTACTCAGGCTTTAGCAGAGTTCAGTAACACTGAGATTCATAACTGGTCACATTGATTTATCAGTCTACTCAGGCTTTAGCAGAGCTCAGTAACACTGAGATTAATAACTGATCATCACATTGATTTATCAGTCTACTCAGGCTTTAGCAGAGCTCAGTAACACTGAGATTAATAACTGGTCACATTGATTTATCAGTCTACTCAGGCTTTAGCAGGAACTTCAGTGTATGTATAGAAGCTATTTGCTGAATTCCTCGTCAGTGTTTTTGCTACAAGCTGTGCACTGATTTTAAATTAGTTAATAAACAAGCATTGATGGTGTCATTGATTGTATGTTTTTATTTAGTGGGCAAGTATTCGAACAGTATTGTCCTAAAAATGTAAAAAGTATTCACATTCATAGTACTGCTTTTTAAAAATATAACCTGGACTGAATGCAAATGTAACCTGGACTTCATTCTGTATTCTGAACATGAATTCCAAATAATTATATTGTGTTACATTCCAACCCTGGATACAAACATAGTTTTTTCTCCACAGAGAACAGAAACAGGATGCTGAATACTCTCTGTCCACTGTGAATGTCCAATTTCTAAGAGGCTGTCTCAATCTGGGAGCGCTGCTGTCCAAACATATGACCTCAGGGCAGAAGATGAGTCCAGTGCTGGTCTATCACATGTAAGTAGCAGTGACAGCCATGAAATGTGTTGATAATGAATGAGTTCTCCTCATTATAGCTGGATTAGAGGTGTTCATGTTTGCGTATTTATTTGCACCAGACAACATGATAGAGAAGTGACACTAAATCCAAAACATGCGCCCAAAGGTGGGACTGTGGACTGACTAAAATAAGAAACTCTTAATCCAATAAAAACAGTGCACAGTCGCCATTTCTTGTATACCCAGGCTTTAAGTTATAAGTATGTGAGAATGCAAATGTGTTAATCTCTGTTGGTCCACCGGCGGGCCCAAAGAATATTATACACTTCTATAACCTAAGAATAGCTCAGCCATTTGCACTGAAGTCCCTGTAGTTACTGAATAATAAGCCATAGTATGTAATAAGCCTGGAGTTTTAAGGGGTTAACTGAATTAGTATGTTGGTTGCAGTACGATCTGTGTAGTGTTATTTTGTACTACACTTTCAAACAAACAAATTTATTTTATCCCAAATATATTCAGTCACCTATCATACAGTACATGTCCAAAAGTATCCAGACAGCCCTTTAATGAACTGAAGCTGCACTATGTAAGTTTTTTTAGTGTTCAAATTGAAAGAAGTAGTGTTACTGAGTCAGGAGAATAAAAACAGGCTATAATGTGGTGAGCATGCGCTTCTGCGAGTCATCCTGTAACGCCTGAAATAACCATTAAAAGTCAGAGGTTTTCGAGTCGGGGCAGGTTGGGAGTTTGTCATACTATGTCGTACATCTTTTCATCACACGCACAGGCTCAAAAAGAAGGTCCAGCTCGATGTTTAGGGCTCAAATGCCAACATTATACTGATGAAGATATGATGACAATATTAGATCATTCACTCACATCCTCAGAAGACACGTTTTGACTAAAAATACATAGTGTAGCTTTAACTGAGATACTTTAAGTTGCACCCATTGCTGGCACAAACATTCAGTTGTGTGCAAACTGCTGCACATGAGTCTTAGGTCACCTTGCCCAATGCCCAATCAGGTGCCCCAGCATTGGGCAGTGCAGCAGTGGAACTGCGTTCTCTGGAGTGATGGAGCTCCATCCAATACCTTTGGGATGAGTTGGAGTGATCCAGCGCCAGTCATCCAACATCAGTACCTGACCTCACTAATGCGCAATCAGATCCTCACAGCAGTGTTCCAGCATCTAGTGTAAAGAAGAATAGAAGCTGTTACAGCAGCAAACCGGGACAAACTCTCTATTATTTTCCTCTGCAGTGTTGCTGTGTTCGCTGCTCGAGCTGTTAGCGTGTGTGTTGGTCGGGGTGAGCTGACTCAGCAGTTGGAGTGGGTGCTGCTCGATGCCCACTTTGCTTTGCTTGAAGCCCTCATGCAGCAGCAGAGCGTGATCAGGCAGGCGTGGATCGCTCAGAGATGCCAGGCGCTCACTGCTCTTATACGGCTCTCCTGCATCGCCCCCTGCAGGGAGCTCCTGGACATGCAGGAGAAAGTGAGTTCACATTTTTGACGTTTCGCCTGAATTTTATCAGTTGAAATACATTTATGTTGCTATTTAAGCTTGAAAATAGCTCAAGTCTTAAAATAATGCATTCTTCAGAGTGATGCTTTTGAAGAACAACCTTTGAACAACACACTGAAATTATAATTTAAAAGTCAGAGTCGTGGGGTCGGGAGTTTTTCAGACCACGTCGTACATCTTTACATATTAACGTCACACACACGGACTCAGAAAGAAGGTCCAGCTCAGTGCTTAAGTCTCAAATGCAAAATCAACATTTACAGATGAAGATATGATGAGAATAGTAGATAATTCACTCACATCCTCAGAAGACACGTCCTTCACCAAGTTTTGAGTTTTTGAGTTCTCTTTGAATTCTCTTTCAACGCTCTTGCAATCATCAGATCGTTCCGCTCGGGAAGCACAACCCAAGTTACAAAATGTTCTTCTACACTTTGCGTGCAATTACACATTTCCACAAGAGAAAAGAATTGTTTGTAAATGAGGTAAGTTTGAAGAAGCTTTTTGACGATTCAAAATTCAATTTATATAACAAATTATATTGCAGCATTATGTTATTGCACTTGTAAATACATAATGTGAGATAATGTGAAAGATTGCTCTGATTATGTTCAACAAAATATTTGACTTTTGTTAAAATACTTTGATTCATCAAAAGCATCCTCAGAAACACTCACCTGGAACTGTAATTGGTCATCATGGTCATCATATTGCAGCCTTATCAGTTTGAGGCCAAAGGCCAATATCGCAATACTAGTTAGCAAGCTATATATGAACATGCCTATTATCTATTCTCTAAAGCAGTGTTTGCCAGCTCCAATCCACCTGAACTGCACAGTATTATTTTGCATTTTCGCAGGGTGTCTCATATATCTGTGACCCCCTACAGTCATATGCAAAAGTTTGGGCACCCCTAGTCAAATAACACATTACTGTTGATATTCTAAGTGAAAATTAGTTCCCTACAGAGAACACATTTCTGCACATTTTAATGCACAGATACTGTTCTGTTTATTTGCTGAATTTAACATATTGGGAATGAAAACATAATATGGCCTGTGCAAAGGTTATGGCGTATTTTATATTTTATTTTAAACTCAGCACCAGAAAAATTACCAGCTACAGGCTGTAATTGACCTGGCATCTGTGTCATATCATTAGCTAATTATTAGCTAATTGTAAAAATTGTAATGCATTAATATTTTACCCATCTCTGTCTATGAGCCTAAATAGTTCTCTTCATGACAGTCATGGTCATCAAGTCTTGTTCAGCTTTTGACTTTGTTTAGTTTTCTACTGCAGGTCTGTGTGTTATTCTTTCTTTCTGATCTGTGCAGGTGTGTAAGGTGGGAGTGATGACCACACCCCGCAGCAGCACTGCACTCTGCCTGCTGGGCCTGAGCCAACTGGCCCAATACGACAGTGACCCCAGCTCAGAAAGTGGTCAGGCAGCCATGGCCGACGCCTGCCTCAGTTTCCAGGCTAGTATCGCACTGGAGGGATCGGCTTTGACCGGAGATCCTCCTGAGCAACTGACCAGTAAGCTTAAGTCTTTAGGGTTATCACTTTAAAGTGGGCTCAAGCATTTTATACAGACTGCTTCTTTACTCTTAAGATCTTGTGTAATGTTTCAGATATTTTACTTTTATAAAGGAAGCTAAAAAAAAATCTAAATTTCTGCATAATTCAATCGTAAATATGTCAACAAAGTAATTCACAGTGGACTGATGTGAAATGAGCTGTTCCAGACAAACTTACCTATCAGAAGTATCACAATTGGTCACAGTGGTGGTGATAGGAACCAGACATCTAAAGGGTTTAGTGACTCTAAAAGCTCCCCCACAGGGAGTTATTACATTAAGTGGTTATGAATACACTGCCTGATGTCTGAGTCATGAGATGAAGATTTTTTTGTTTATCCATTTGTGATGGATAGGTACATGCAGGGCTCTGTAAGGCAAAGCAGTCCCCAGAAAAGTGTATTTTTTCAGGTTTACCACAATTTTTCCATCATCAACATTACATATAAAAAGACACATGTAGGCTCACTGGTGGTTTTGGATAGAAAATAAAATGGTTATATTTTGAGACCCCTGGTTCCTCTCACCGCCACTGTGAGTCAGTGGGTTTCTCTGCAATTTTACATCAAACCACTCTGAATGAGTCTGTTTACATCTCAGTGATTTAATTATGTACTCTTTAATATATGTTAATGTAATATCTGTTGGTCCATTCATCATGAAATGTTCTCACATTTTAAAAGGCAGCTGGAAAATATAAAGGTACACAGTTTTGAAATGACAGTCATGATATGTAAGTGTGGATTGTGTGTTAAGTATGATAATTAATATGATAACAATAATAATTCCATTGCATTTACAGGTAGTTAAAAAAGGAGCAAAACTTGCTTCCAGATGTTTTAGTCAAAAGGTTTTTTTTTCTATGCACAGGGAAATACATTGTCATTATTGTTCATCATAACAAATTTTTTGACGTATTTGTATTTTTTGACATCATTTGAAAAAAAGGCCCGTTGCCTTATATGATGTGACAAAATTTCATGATGAATGGACCAACAAAAATGGTCCAAAATTACTTGTAAAAAATTATTTATCCATTTACTTCCATTAAAAGTTAAGACCGTTTTTCCTCGTCCTATGAAGTAACTTTTTTGGAGATTCAAGGTTTTGTTCCGACAGCAGCGATATGGTACAGATAGCTGGCAGACAACCATTAGTTTAGAAGATGCTGGAGAATACATTTCACTGGTTCTGTCATTCATTATTATCAGCATTAGCATTTTGTTTGATGCATTGTCTCACCTGGTGGCCTTTTAAAAGTCAGCTTATGTGAAAGAGTTTGTTTTTGGCTTAATACAGAGCAGAAGTGGTGGAGGGACCACTTGGCTAAAGAGGAGGAGAAAACAGACAGGCAGGCCAGCGTTAAGGCCACAGAAGCAGCTGGACCTCCTGAGGCCACAGCAGCTGGGAGAGCAGCTGGAAGAGGCAGAGGTGCTCCAGGCCGAGGTGGAGCTACAGCTACAGCCACAGCCAAGAGCGCTGCATCTGCCCCAGGCCGTGGGGTCAGGACTGCCACAGCAGCCAAACAGACTGGCCAAGCAGCAAGGTTAGCATTTGAGACACATCCGGACAGGAGAGCACCAGTGTAACTGATATACTCACCTGAGTGAACTTCACCTGTTTTTTGGGACACTTAAAGGAATAGTTACCCAAAATATAGTCAGTTAGCCAGTATATGTTTGGTGTCAGAAGTCTGCACTTCAGCTACAAGGCTAAGACTAATTCATCACGTTTGCCTCATGTCAAGTTGTTAAGTAATCTTAGACAGACTTGATTATGTGTTTTCTGACACTGTAGGCCAAACTCTTTACTATAAAAACATGGAGAAATGTATGGACAAAATTCAGGCTTTAAGGTGGCTGCTACTTCACTTTGGTTATGTCATGTAATTTTGTCAATTTAATAGGTAACAGTCGTCCCAGTGAACGGTGTAAAAACACAGCTTAAAATTACTACTGAATAGACAGGGGTCGGCAACCCAAATGTTAAGAGCCATTTTGTCCTTTCAGCAAAAATCAAACCACTTTGGGAGCCACAACATTTTATGTCCATTTTACCATCTCGGCTGTAAATACGTCTCAGTATGTGCTAATGAGCTATTTCGGCTAACAAATATAATATAGACGAAAATGCAGACTTTGCTCTGTTTTAAACTTTAGCTCATCTGTAGCTGCTTTTCTCACATCTCCAGCAGGAAACTTTTTCAAAAGTAGAACAGTTTCTTGTAAAATGTCTCTCAACGTTCAACTTCTACGAGGCTGAAGTCGCTTCTCATTTGCCAGCATATTGTTCAAATTATTTTGGTCCACCTTAAATGGTGCCTGATGCGCCAGAATTTAGAATGCTGTATGATTTAAGGTGGAACGGGAGAATTCGATCAAGAAGCTGGCGAATGAGAAACCGACTTCAGCTTTGTGACTTTTTTGTGTTTGACAGTTTCTCTTTGCAGATTAAATGTATCAGGAAACCAGCTGGAGTGATTATAAATGCAAATAAGTCCATTTGTTTCTAAATTCTTTGCCTTTTCGTTAGCCACTAGCTAGACCAGCAGTCTGCATGCCAACCTTCAGGGTTAAAGGGTGAATTAGCAGTTCTACATTAACTCCAGCGTTTAAGACCATTTATTGTTGAAACTGTGTTGAACGATCAGCAGAGCTTTATTTTACTGCAAAGGAGGATTATTTTATTTTTACCTACAAATCTAATTCTGCTATGGAGCCGGAACAGGGCAGTGAAACAGCCACAACCCCTGTGATAAGACCTATTGTGAGAACTGTCTGGACGTGGCCTAATATTCTAATGAGCATTATGGTCCTCAGTCCAACACTCCTAGCCAGCCACACCGCTGTAGCAGAACAAAACAGAACAGAGTGAGTGAGGAGAAATGAGTGACACAGGCTCTACATATACAGGTGGTGGTGTTTACTCACTAAAAACATTACCCAACTTTTATATCAGGGGTGTCAAAATATTCCAAAACTGCAACAGCAAAATAGCCATTAAATACTTAACACATTTACATATTTAACACATATTCATTAAATATAATTCTAAATAAAAATAAATAGTTTTAGGTGTTTTTTTTAAACCTGCCTATTTGCTTGAACTAGACACCTGGCATCGTTTCTTTTTGCTGGCCCACAGATTGGTGTTGAGGGAAGAGGGTCAGAACACACACTATGCCGCAGTGCATGCTGGGGACTGTAGTGCATCTCAGGGTGAAACGGGCCACTAATAATAGAAAATTAAAATTATTTTGCGTGCTGAATAGGACTGTGTCACGGGCCTGATTGGCCCGCAGGCCTTGTGTTTGACACATGGGTTTTATGTGGTGACATCTTAAAAACGGCTCTTTTTCACTTTACTGCTGGAGGTGCATCCAGAGAACGCTGGCGAGGCCACTTGAATGAACAAACTTCCTCTCTGTAGGTTTCTCTGACTTTACTGTGTGAGCGGGACAAACTACATCAATCTTGTGATTGCAAAGGCACTACTTATGTATGCATGACCCAAGATTAGGACTGCCTAGTTTGCACTGAAAGAGGACAATGTTGCCAAAATATATCGGCCATTTAGTGGACATGGAAAGTCATTCACAGGACATACTTCGTATATGTAGATTGTGTGCCCACTAGAGTAAGACTATGTCTTCTTAGAAAGAAAACTTTTTTAGGTTCAATACAGTTTGAGGCAAAACATACACTATATAGAATACATGCATCTGCTTAGTACGTCTCATTTTATCATATTTTGTATTAGAGGTGCGGCCGCTAAGAGTGATGGACGAGGGAGGAGTCCAGGCAAGGCGGGTTCTAAAACTCAGCTCTCTCCCTGCAAGTCCAAACAGGAGAGCAGCCCTCCACAGGCTGAGCCAGCAGGTGTGTCCACTTTGCATTTTGAATTTACTGTGATTGCCAGCTTCAGGTTTACTCATGTCTGCTGATCCTTTCTTTATTGCTGTAACACTGGTAGGTGTTTTTGGGTGTGCCCATCTATCAGTAGCCTGTAGTGAAATACAGTGTCTCTGATGCCTGGGCGTTTTGCCCATCCTTTTTCCACCCATCTGCTTTGTTTAATGAGTAATACACAACAATATGTATTAGCCTTCTTGTGCGTTTTGCCCTCGGTTATTTTCACTGAAAATATATACTGATATACTGATACTATATCTGACACTGTATTTGATGTTTTGGGCTGGTCAATTCAAAAGTCACTAAATCTTACATAGACTAAAATGAATAAACTAGAATTTAGGACTGGCCAGAATAAAGTGAATACTCGAGTACTTGTTTGTTACGTTGATATTTTAGTATTCAGAAGCTTCACCTCTTTTGAGCTACAAAAAATGGAAACTAAAATAAATTTGATCAGCAAAAGCCTTTAGATAAAACAGTTTTTGTTAATATGGAAAATATTAAAAGTAAATCAGTTATTGCTGGTATGAAGCTAAAAGAGCACAGATGCCTCAACAATCAAACGTGAAGCACTTTAAAAAACAGACACGACAAGTTTGATGTATCTTGTGTGTGTGTAGATATGTAAGTACAGTGATCCTTATCCGAGTACCACCATGTGTCCTATCCACACTGTCTAACTCAGCTTTGTTATGTAACCACTTCAGATGGGAATATCAGCTCTTTTTCTTGCTTTCTTTTCTAATGAAACCGTTTTACAGCAGTTTATAATGAAACCTGACAGCCTGACAGCACAAACTGCAGATCTGTTTTAGACTAAATCACAATCACAGGTTTTTGCGGCTGTTATCAGAGAAGTTTCTCCTCCACACAGAGTTAGTACAGCGCAGGAGCTGCTCTGAAACTACCACACCAACAGCATCTCTGCATTTTAGTAACTTAGTATTTTCAATATAATTTAGAGCAGTATAATAGGAGGGGGTGATTTGGCTGAATTACTGTGGAGTTTTTGTTTCACTCGTGTGCGCACAAGTCAGAAAAAAAAGAAAACAAACAAAAAACAAGACAGATTGGAAGGGCTTGTGTTTTGACGGACGTGATCACAGACTGAAATGGTTTCTAAAGTGTATCTGTTCCATCAGTGGAACAAATGAAAAAATGCTTCCTTTGTTTTGGACACTTTTGAGAAGAACTATAGGGGCATTACTCAGCAATATCAGCGAGCAGTTGAAGCCTGTAGACAGCTGTTCACGCCAGCTGTAGTACAATCAAACATTTACAGTAATATGCAAAAGTTTGGGCGCCCCTGGTCAAATGACGTTGTGCTGATTTTCTAGGTGAAAACAACACATCCTCTACAGAGATCACACTTTGAGCTAAAACATGAAATATAAAATGTGCTGTAACTTTTGCTGTAGCTGTGTATTAAAATGTGCAGAAGTGTGTCTCTGTAGAGGATGTGTTCACTTATTTCCACTCAGAAAATCAACAATACGTCACCTGACCAGGGATGCCCAAACTTTTGCACACGACTGTAAATGACAGAAAGGTTTGGACATTAATTTATACCTAATGCTGTATGAGTGAATTTGGGACAGTTTAAAGTCAAAAATTTTAAATGATGTCTATTTCCTGGTTTTATGTGTGTCATTCAAAGCTAGTGCTGTCCTGTGTTAGGATTTAGTTTAGGGTTTGTGGAAGTGCCTGAAAGCGTAAAAAAGTGCCCCAAGTTATCTTAAACCCCCCAACCTAAAATTCCCAGTGGAAGCATGCTTGATTTTTATACTGTGCTTTATAAAGAGCTTTATTGAATTCATATTGTATTATATTTATATTTAAGTGTCCAGTGTTTTATTTTTGTTTTTTATTGTTTTTTATCAGTTATACGGCCAGGATGACAAATAAAATTCTCTTTCTAGGGCTTCATAGCATAGACATAACCATAAATAAACATTGGGCTAGATTATCATATCCCAATAGGAGTGTTTTTTCACTAGGAAGAATATAAACAATTCATATGTAACCGACCTATTTTGAGTTTTGAAATGTTGTTCTTGCACTTGCTGGATGTTGATTATTGCTTTCTGGTCTTGTAAACTTAGAACTGGACTCCCAGCCCTCCTCGACAGTGTTTTACAGTGCTGGAGTATTATTCTGTAATCAGTAGTTAAAACATGGCTTCTAATCTTTGGATTATTACAGTTCATGAAAGACCATCTGCTAAATTTTAGAGAGACTTGGAGCTCCTGCTGAGCCTTACTGTAATACTGTAGACTTACTGTAACCAACAGAAAGCTGTTTAAACTGAAAGGTTTGCCTCTTGTTCGTTTGTGTATTTCAGCAGCGTCAGTAAAAGAGGAGAGTAATCTCAGTGGAGTGTCCAGTCCAGCCATTCTGAATGTGAAGTCGCATGCTCCTCGGCTGGGATTAGCCAGGGCCCTGTCTCGCTCCCCAGACTCGCCTCAGCAGGCCTGCGGTCTCTATGAAGAAGTCATCGCCATGGCTCCAGAGGTCAAGTGATAGAAGTGATAAAAATCAAATTTACAAAAACGCCCCGGTTAACCAACCAGACATGTTTGATATTCATACTCTGCTTGTTCTGTCTTGTGCTAGAGCTACAAGGCTAACACCACTGCTATATGTCACCAATTAGCCTCAGGCAATCTGTGTTATCACACACTTGCCTGAAGCGATGTTGAGAAATGAGTATCTCACCGTTTTCTCCCTTACCCCAAATGTAGGCTAAAGCGAGGACATGTTTGGGGTCTGAAATTTGCTTATTTAGTTTTGCATTGGAGCTACGATGCTAACGTAGCTAACAGAGAATCCTATTCCCCAGTTAACATTATGCAATTGCATGATTAAATCACTGCATGACAAAAGACCCCAAGCACTCAAAAATGTGTTTTTAAAATGGTTAACTTTTCTTGGAGGCCTTATTATGATTATATAAACTGATATTTCTATCATATTTCTTTTTTTTTTTAATTAAGTAAATCTGAAAAAGCGGCGCAGTGGGTAGCAAGAAGGGCCTGGGTTCGATTCCCTGGCTGGGCGACCTGGGTCCTTTCAGTGTGGAGTCTGCATGTTCTCCCCGTGTCTGTGTGGGGTTCCTCCCACAGTCCAAAGACATGCAGTCAGGCCAATTGGAGATACTATATTGCCCCTAGGTGTGAGTGTGTATGTCTGTCTGTCTGTCTGCCCTGTGATGGACTGGCGACCTGTCTGGGGTGTATCCTGCCTTCCGCCTGATGACAGCTGGGATAGGCTCCAGCACCCCCGCGACCCAGGCAGATAAGTGGCTTAGAAGATGTGTGTGTGTGTGTGAAAAAAGCATTTTGTGCAGTGCTACATATGGGCTTAGTTCCATACATCATGAATAAGTTTGAAACTATCACAGTCAAAACCACTAAATATGCTAAATATACTAAAATATGATTATGAGAGGATCACGACATGGCAACAGGAAACTTAGAGCTGCTCAAATCTAACATGGTGGTGGCATGTTAGTTGCGCTGGTGCAAGTGGATCAGACTCAGCAGTGCTGCTGGAGTTTTTAAACACTGTGTCCACTCACTGTCCACTCTATTAGACACTCCTACCTTCTCAGTCCACCTTGTAGATGTAAAGTCAGAGACGATAGCTCATCTGCTGCTGCACAGTTTGTGCTGGTCATCCTCTAGTCCTTCATCAGTGGTCACAGGATGGTGTTGACTGGATAGTTTTGGTTCTCAGTCCAGCAGTGACACTGAGGTGTTTAAACACTCCAGCAGCACTGCTGTGTCTGATCCACTCAGACCAGCACAACACACACTAACACACCACCACCACGTCAGTGTTACTGCAGTGCTGAGAATGATCCACCACCTAAATAGTACCTGCTCTGTGGGAGTCCTGACCACTGATAAACAGGGTGAAAGGGGGATAACAAAGCATGCAGAGAAACAGATGTACTACAGACTACAGGGAATATAGGCTTCTATGTTAACTACATTAGCATTGTAGCTCCAGGGCAAAAGTAAAATGGCTCATAGACTAGGTACTCATTTCTCACATTTGATGCTCATCGTAGTTCATACGGATGTATTTCAGGTCCACGATGCGTACATTGAGCTGGCGAACCTGCTGGTGAAGACTGACCCTCTGGCTGCTGTGGACGTTTACAGCAGGTTCCCCTTGAAGCCTGTTAATGAACAGACGTTTGATGACGCCTTCATTACAGGGGAGATTGTTCGTATCCTCATGAAACAAGAGCTGTTTGACCACCCACAACTGACCTCTAACCTGATTGCCTATGGAAAAGTCATGGGGCTCAGTAAGTTTCTGGGCACTTTTTCTTCTTAACAGAAAAAATACAAAATCTTTCAGGCTAAATCTACATTACAGCCTTGTTTCTTTCATGTGTCAAGGTCATCTCGGCAGTCACACCATTTAAAGTGATGCTTGCTGTCTGTGCTGTGTAGCTTTGAGACTCTCGCCCCTCTCTGTAGTGCCTCTGTCATTCTCACTGAGTCTGTGTCTCTTTTTTTAAGGTTGCCTTGAAAAGTACATTGACATACTGGATGGGAAGTTCATGACCAGCCTGCTGAAGACTGTTTACGCAGGAATCCATGACAAATCAGTGGATGACGAGGACCTTCAAGAGTTTTTCAGATTTAAGTGCTGGATATGAACTTTCCAGCACTTAAATGGAGTCACAAGAGTTGATGCCATGTAAGAGACAAAAATCTGATGAGTGTTTTTTAATCTTAAATACATTCATTTAAAGCTTAACATTAACATAGAACATGATTTATTTATAGCTATTAAAAAATATTTTTAAAGTATATCATCTAAGAACGTGCATTTTTACCTTTATAGACTGTTATTGTTTCACTTTAAATATCAGTAAATAAGTCATTTTAACATTAGTTCTTCTTCATGCCCTAACGTCTTTTTCCACATTAACACTACATATTTTAAATATGACACAGTTTAATACAGAAACATTAATTTTAAGAAATACATTTTTCTGTCCTTGAGTTTTGCTTTCCACTGTGTCACATCAGCTTATTTAGTATTAAAAATAATATTCTGTTATCATTTAAGCCTTCACAAAAGCTATGCTCAAAAGTACTTTTATTCAGCATTAATTGTTTGTTGTTTTCCATCAAGCATAACATGCCCAAGTTTTTGTTTTAGATTTTTGGGCATTTCCACACAAAAGACGGGTAACCTGCTTTTAAAAAAACGAGTTGGAAGGTGTCTAACCTCGTTAACAGGGAGTTTGATGGCCAGTAAAAATATTTCACTGTGTCACAATTTCAATAGGATGATGATGATGATGATGTACTCCCCCAAAAATGGTTATTAAGGTAGGAAAACTGTGAGAGCCATGTGTACCTGAAACTGTCCAAAACACGAGGGGAAAAAAGTCAAAATAGCATGTCCATTTGGCACTGATCTTGAGGACACTGGGCCTCACTCTCCAGTATCTTCCTAAGTTTGTTCTTAAACTTGTTCTTTAGAAAGGTCCTAAGAAAAAGTCTACGTCAGATTCATGACGTGTTCTTAAACCACAGAACTGTTCTCACCTTTGTGCTCTTAATAGTGTGTCGATTCTGTTCTTACCTAAGAACAAATCCAAAAAAGAGAACATTGGTGAATGTCAGAATCTTCGCTCTGACAAAAGAATTGCGTAAATGGGTTTACGAAGAAATTTCTTCTTAAGAACGGTTCGTGAATGAGGCTCAGTGTTTGTATTTGAATTTATTGGCTGGGTTTAGTCTAAATACATTGAAACATACAGTCATAGGCAGAAGTTTGAACACTCAAGGTCAAATTACGTTTTGTTGATTTTCTATATTCCAAGTTAAAAAAGTACATCCTCTACAGAGAACACACATAAGCATGTGAAAATCTCTACAGGGAAAAAAAACTTAAATATGGCATTTTCTTCAAATGTTAGTGCACAGTTATCTATTTATTTGTTGATTTTATCTTGTTGGGAAAAAAATAAAACAATGTGCCAAAACTTTTATTTTTCCCCAATGTGTTAAATCCTGCAAAAAACAGTAATTGTGTATTAAAATGTGCAGAAGTGTGTCTCTGTAGAGGATGTGTTCACTTATTCTCACAAAACATAATTTGACCAGGGGTGCCCAAACTTTTGCATATGCCATATCTCAGCATGAGTGTGGGAAAGTATCAGAAATTAAAAAAAATAGAAACAAGTTAAAAATGAGAATTCTGCGTGTGCAACTGAAGAAAAACGTACCATGTCACGTCACTACTGTGTAAAAATTCATTTAATAATTCCAAACAATGTCAGAAAGAAGTTTGAAAGAACAGAGACACAATACGTCTCTAAACTGAGGCTTCAAGTCTGTTTGCATATTAAGTTGATTGATTTTGTGTGGAAAAAACACACAGAGGAACTTCATACAGGTTTCGAGTCACAGGCTTTTTGCTCAGACTCTGTTCAGCTTGGTGACGATCAGGACTCGCACAGACTGGTCGAAGGAAGAACACACACACAGGCCCTGCTTGTCCGGACTCCAGTCCAGGCTGGCGATGGGTTGTGTGGACAAGTTGACGTTCTGCAGGAGGTTAAGCGTCCCAGCCACTCCTCTGTCCACCCCGTCTGTGCCCTTTTCAGTCCTCTTGGCTGGATACTCACTGCAGCAGGTCAGGACAGTTACAGCGTCAATATAAAGCAGTGCTGGACCAACTGCACCTCACAAAAAGTCTTAAATACATTTTATTTGATCTAGATTTTTTGTTTTGTTGTTTTAAACGTGTTCTTAACGTTAACAGAAATGTTCGTTTATTTCTATTTATGTTATTTCGCCATAACATCATGGGTTTTTCACTCGTTTTTCACTGCTCGTTAAGGAACTATAATTTGGTGAAGGAACTGCGAACATTAAAACATATTAAACGCCGCGTTCACGGCCCAGTTTATTAATTTATTACTTTATTTATTTAACTGTTGTATTAAAGCAATAGAACACTCGAGGAGTGTGTTATCGCCAATAACATCACGACTGTGATTTGGTCGCAGGCACGAGCCGTGATGTTATTTCACGATAACACACGCCCTCTCGTGTTCTTTTGCTTAATTACTATATTACTGCACTGTATTTTGTTGCATCTCTTTCAGGGCCCCACTGTAAGTGGGCTAACCAGCCCTGTATGATAAATAATAAGTCAAAATAAATACATTCTATGTGTGACACGTCAAGCTGTTAGCATGTATTTGTTGTCATTTTTAATTTCATCTAATCAAGCCAATGTCAGCATGATGGCAAAGTCTGTTGTTGTTTTTTCACCTGCACGGTCTCAATTAGCTACAACAACTCAGTCCAGCTTAGCAGCACGGCATTTTAAATGAAAACTCAGTGTTATTTATCAACTCTTAATAAACATTTCAGCAGTCTGATGAGAATAAATTATGCCACGTGTCAGGCTCCAGTCCTTGTGGGCCAAATCACTGCAGACTTCGACACACTGCCTCATTAAACATACCCGATTCAGCTCATCAGCTAACTAGCAAGGCCTTCATGAACTGAATTCACAGTGTTAGATGAGGGTAAACGCTGATCTCCACAGCACTTTGGCCTGGAAGGTCCCCAGGTTAGCATGTATGATTTAGGCATTATGTCAAACACCGAGTTGTGCCACAGTTTCTCATTATGTTGAACGGGATTTTTGGCAACACTCTGTAAAGCTTTTCCAACACCGCAGTAGTTGCAATTAAAGAACCCATTTGTGGGCGGAGCCTGGATAGACCAAAATGATAAAACACTCAACTTTCTAAAACTTTTTAGCACTGATCGACTTACTATTTCCATAAATGCAGGTTGCCCGCTCCACCTGCCGTCATGAAGATGTCTCGGTTTTGAGGCAAATGCTTCACTTGCCATACTGTAGATTTATGGGCCTAAAAGCAAAAAAACAAAAGAACAAAGAGTAAACGAGTGTGCAGGTAAAAGGTTCACAAGACATGGTGGGCTGAGTTTTCTGAAGCTTTATTTCAGGCTTTCTGACTAATAATCTGTAAGATAAAGTAAATCAAATCAATCAGTATTTTATTTTTCGCATGTCACTCCTTAAAAAAAAAAGGCTCATATCATTTTTATTCTTGAACTGTATTGTCCCCCTGAGGTCCACTTATGAAGTTTTTGTACTAAAAACAGTCAGTTACACATTTTTTCAACCCCTCCGTATCGCTTAGAACTAAACAGGCTGTCTTTGTTGCTGGGCCTTTAAAGTTGATATGTAAATAATATCTGCTCTTATTTGATGCCCTGTATTGTGCCTAGTAGTGGGCAGTATGGAAAATATTTTTATCATGGTATAATTAAGATTACGGATGGTTTCAGTATATATTATGGTATAGTGTATTTATGTATTATTGTTGGATGATTAAGTAAATGTTTTTTATAGACTAACAGTGATCTTTTATTCTGGATGCCCTTTCACTTTTTATAAGAACCATATTTAACAACTGAAGTAAATCTGAAACATTTTTATGGGACGAAACAGTAAAAACAAAAATGAACAATACAAACAGATGTCACTATTGCTTTGTAACCCTGACGAGATAAAGGCGAGTGTATATAAAGCCCACAGAATTTAGTAAACATTACAGCTGTTCACACTATCAGTTTTAGCTGAGAAGCTGTGGAGGCGCTCGGCTTGTAGGCAGAGACTACGATGTCGCCTAAAGTCTGAGCGAGGAGGACCGTAGGCGGTGTACACAGAAAGCCAGCTGGTCTCCATGCTAGGCTAAAGGCTAACAGCTAACCCCAAGAGACTGGCTTTTCCTTCCACTCTCTGTTCCCCTGTTAACTCACCAACTCATTACAGTCTGATGTCTGGTCCTCTGACAATAAACTGGACTAACTTACCTCAGACTGCAGCTCACCACACAGGAGGAGAGGGAATCTGTGTGTTTTGCACTGTTTATACGTCGCATTATCTGCATTTATTTGCATACCGGTGTAACAGTAAAGACACAACTAATACCTTAAAAAGAATTTCAGCCGGTTTATCAGATGAACTGATAGTTTGCCAACTACTAATTGTGTTTTATTGTAAAAGCAGCCTAGGCTGAAACTGCTGTAGGCTGAATAGGTGGATAAGTGTGAGTGTGTTTGTTTCCATGACATCATCAAAACAACAAATTTAAAATGGGCACAGCTCAGTTTCTTTATATGGACTGTATGGAGTCGAAGGTAAACTGTACATTGTGAAACTTTAATAATGTTTACAAACTACATCAGACACTTTTATTTATGTCAGCCAGTTCAAACAGTCTGATATATGAGCAAGAGTTTTTAGTCTAATCCGTTGCACAAGTTTAATAGGAAATTCACGGATTTTATTAAAAAAAAAAACAAAACATTCCACATAATACTTAAGTTATAATCTTTCTTCAATGTCTACAACACAAATGTACAACCAGTAAACTAACACGTCTTCTGTGTGTTTATATGAAATGTTGTAGCGGTTTGCGGTAAATATGGAAAAATATATACCTTTTCAGAAACGGATGCAAAGCCTTTGGTCGGGTGCTGAGTTCTCATGTCAAAGACGTGGAATTTGCCCTCTAAAGATGTCGCCACGAGTTTGTTCATACTTATATCCTTCCTGTCAAACTCAACGCTGCACACCTATCAGAGGCATAAAAAAATCATTGTAATTCAGACTGTCAGGACCTCAGAATTCACAGACACGCACTGTCTCAGTGTGTTTATCATCAACAAATTTTAAAATGATTGTTACATTACAAAGCTCTACAACACATTAGCACTGTTTAATGAGCAAAGACTGTATATCTGTCATAGCCAGGTGTGCTACATGATTCATCAACTCACATGTATGAAGGAAAGCGAAAAGAAATCTCTGAAAGCCAATCAAGGCACAGAAACCTGCTGCCACTTACGCCATTTTTAATGTTCTTCTCCCATCGCACAGACATATTTCGGAGGTCAAACAGCTTGATGTCACCGTTGTCGTAACCAGCACATACACAGCGGTCCTGATCATTGAAAGCGTGACCTTTTAACAAAATGGAAAAAAAAAATTGGCATTAAATTGAATAAAATGTTTTTGGCTTTTTTGGCATACTTTTCATGCATTTATTGGATATACTGTAAATACATACCAAAGGCAACTGTCCAGCAGTCTCTCTTGGTTTCCCCTTCAGCTGGCTCCATGTTTGCCACAGGCGTGTCTTTCTGCCTTGGGTCCCACACCTTCACTGTACCTATAAAAACAAGCCCACAGAATATGCACATTTGGCCACAAACTGCCACCACAAACATCCCTCTTGACAGTAATTGCACACTTACCGTCTCAGCTTCCTGTAACGATTTCTGGAGCGCCGCCTCTGATACCCAACCCTCTAACCCTTTAGTAAATATTATAGCTGTTCACACTATCAGTTTTAGCTGAGGTGTTGCCTAAAGCAGCTGGCTGAGCGAGGAGCACCGTAGGCTGGTCTCCATGCTAGGCTAAAGGCTAACAGCTAACCCCAAGAGACTGGCTTTTCCTTCCACTCTCTTTTCCCCTGTTAACTCACCAACTCATTACAGTCTGATGTCTGGTCCTCTGACAATAAACTGGACTGACTTACCTCAGACTGCAGCTCACCATGCAGGAGGTGAGGGAATCAGCGTGTTTTGCACTGTTTAAACTGCCACCACAAACATCCCTCTTGACAGTAACTGCACACTTACCGTCTCGGCTTCCTGTAACGATTTCTGGAGCGCCGCCTCCGATACCCAACCCTCCAACTCCATCAATGCTGTTTACTATTTCTTTGTGGGCTTTCACCGAGTACACCGGCACCTCTGGTGCTTCCAGATTCCTGGAGAAGCAATTCAAATTTAAGTCTGTGTGTTACCGAAAACCCAGGATGGTGAAAGTAGAAACACTGCGTTCACACTAGCAAGTGGCAAGTCACGTACGTCATCCCAAAACTGTCTCTTGCGGTGTTTGAGGCCACTCGTGTTGTTGCGTGTGGACATGCACAACATCCAGCTTCCGACAAAAAAATTGTAAAGCGCTTTTCCACTGTATGGTACCGGCTCGACTCGACTCTACTTGCCTTTTTTTGGTTTTCCACTAGGCAAATCTGGTACCTGGTACTGGGTACTTTAATAACTACATTTAAAATAAATTAAAAAATTTAAATAAATACATTTAAATCAGATGTGGCTAACAGTCTAATTTATGTGTTTAACAGTTTGTTAAACAGCTGGCCATCCAATCACTTCTGTTTCCACCTATAATGTATATATTTGGAGGGAAAAAGCCGTATAAATATGAGGCATAGCCTGACCACTTTCATTCAGCAGCTACGACATCCGAGTTTGCTAGACTCTTGGCAACTGCTGTTATTTATACACCCACAGGAAATGACTGGATGCTTGTCGCTCTGTCGCCTCCTAGTGTAAACGCAGGGTAAGACTGGAGACAAATGTAATTAATTTGAACATACCACACATGAAGATTGCCACCAAAGTCGCCTGTGGCCAGATGCCTCTGCTGGAGAGATGTAGCTCCAAACGTTCCACATTTTATTGGCTTAGGTTTCTCTATCTGAAAGACAGAAATCAGTACATAAACACAGCGTCTATTAATGCAGCTCTCTGCTAACATACAGATTTGAACACACCTGATTTGATTGGATGCACCTGAATCAGCACGTTTTATAATCTAAAAGTCATTCTATAAAAAAACAGGATGAGAAACAGTGATGCCTGTCGGTGGAGACTTTCGAGAGCACCCTGGACGGCCGAGAAAACAAATGGATCTTCGACCAAAGTCTCTCATTTCCTCTCACTAGAAACCCAGATTACCAAACTGAAGCTCTTATTTTGGACAGAAGATACAGTTCAGTGAAAAATATAACTACGCTTGAAAGAGTAAACAAAGAAAGAGGAAAGTCAGCAATAAGATGGATGGATGAACAGGCTATTAGGAAGCCTGAGGACCCAAACAGAAGACAAGTGTCTGGAGAAAAACAACCCACAAGGTCATCAGGAGTCAGAAACGACTTGGTGACACTTAATAGTAATAATAAAAGGACATTCTGGTCTGAAGTTTTGTGCTTAAATGCTTGAACGTTGCTTCTAGGAGCAATATAAGGAGCGAATTTGATGCCTATGAAGGAAAAACAACCTAATATTCTATAAAGTAGTTTGGGCAAAGCTGCATCAGTGCAAATGGTTGCTACTTTGAAGAGTCTGAAATCTTTTTGCTATTTCATACACCAACATAATACTGAAGACTGAAAATACTCATGGGAATCCATGTTACTCTGCAACAACATCAAAGTGTGGGCAGAAAAGGAAAACCCAAGACATAACATTAACAGTTAGCCTCCATTCCAGCACGTTATGCACTTAGAACCACTGGATCTCACTTATTAAATTAGTTTCCACATGAGAAGATAATAAGATGGAAGTTTAAGCAATAAGTTACAACTCAAATTTCCTCCCACAAATCTTTGAGAACATTTTAAAGTCAAATCAGTGTAAAACAGTATAATTATAATAACAGAATAATTACTTAAAATAACACTTAAAATACAATTTTGGGAGGTTTGCTTTACTAATTTGTTAAATTTATTAATACAAATCCAGTAACTCACACTATTTCTTGTATAATCATTAGTTACTAAGGTAAATCTAGTTAAGATCAGTTTGTTTGGATAAATCCTACAGACTGAAGAGTCTTGAGCCCCAAAAGCTTCCCTGCATTGTCAGCTGTTTTGTTGGTTTCTGTTAATTAACACTTATTTTTCTACTTTATAAACATAATCCCTTTCGTAAAGTGTTATATTTGTGTCAGAGCGTACTCTCGTGATAAATATGGAGTTTTAGTGCATTTTACATGTTTGTTATTCTCACCATGAAGGCCTTCTATGTTCAGGTTTATCAGTTCAGCCTGGGGCCCTGAACACTAACGGAGCGGCAAACATGCATTAAAGATATTAAAGCTCCTCATAAATGATGATTCCAGTCTTATTTAAGCCTTTTATTCATTACTGTACAAACACAGTCCATTTAAAATAGTGGAGTTATTTTAATTGTTGCCAAAACATTACATAAATTCAGATTCACGTTAACCTAATTCAAAAAAAGAAATTTTTTCTAACCCAGAACTTGAAAAAAATGGCTCTTCAAGGGTTCTTTAGTAAAGGCAATGGTTCTATTTAGAACAATTAGTTCTATATAGATCCATTTCATGCTTAAAGGGTTCTTTGCATGGTGAAATGGTTCTACAGATTGATGGAGAATGTGCTGATGGTTCTATAAACAGCCTTTTTGAAAATCAAAAAGAGGTTCTGCTACTGTTACGATGTCAAGCTTGTACACAACGGAAGAACACTTTCTGGTGCTCTGTAGAACCATGTACAACACATTCTCCATCAGTCTGAAGAACCATTTCACCATGCAAAGAGTAATTTAAGCATGAAATGGTCCTATATAGAACTTAATGGGCCTTTTTCTTAAATGTGTTCTTGAGAAAGGTCCTAAGAAAAAGTCTACGTCAGATTCATGACGTGTTCTTAAAGCGCAGAACTGTTCTCACCTTTGTGCTCTTGAGTGTGAGTAGATTCTGTTGTTGCTTGAGTCCCAAGAATCCCAAATAAAACACTGTTGAATGTCAGAATCTTTCTGAAAACTGCATAAGTGGGTTTTAAGAAGAACTTTCATCTTAAGAATGGTTGGTGAATGAGGCCCATTGTTCTAAACAGATGGCCTTCACTGAAGAACCCTTGGAGAACCATATTTTTTAGAGTGTAGAGTACTGTTAGCTCAATGGACACTATGTAAAATGAATGGGCTAGTTAACCTTACTAACTGCAGAGGTGTTGATCACTGAAACCTAGAAAGCAACTACACTGATCAGGCATAATATTATGACCACCTCCTTGTTTCTACACTCATTGTCCATTTAATCAGCTCCACTTACTATATAGGTGCACTTTGTAGTTCTACAGTTACAGACTGTAGTCCATCTGTTTCTCTGATACTTTGTTAGCCCCCTTTTACCCTGTTCTTCAGTGCTCAGGACCCCCATGGACCCTCACAGAGCAGGTGCTATTTGGGTGGTGGGTCATTCTCAGCACTGCAGTAACACTGACGTGGTGGTGGTGTGTTAGTGTGTGTTGTGCTGGTCTGAGTGGATCAGACACAGCAGTGCTGCTGGAGTTTTTAAACACCTCAGTGTGACTGCTGGACTGATAATAGTCCACCAACCAAAAATATCCAGCCAACAGCGTCCTGTGACCACTGATGAAGGTCTAGAGGATGACCAGCACAAACTGTGCAGCAGCAGATGAGCTATCGTCTCTGACTTTACATCTACAAGGTGGACTGACAAGGTAGGAGTGTCTAATAGAGTGGACAGTGAGTGGACACAGTGTTTAAAAACTCCAGCAGCACTGCTGAGTCTGATCCACTCGTACCAGCACAACACACACTAACACACCACCACCACGTCAGTGTTACTGCAGTGCTGAGAATGACCCACCACCCAAATAGCACCTGCTCTGTGAGGGTCCATGGGGGTCCTGAGCACTGAAGAACAGGGTAAAAGGGGGCTAACAAAGTATCAGAGAAACAGATGGACTACAGTCTGTAACTGTAGAACTACAAAGTGCACCTATATAGTAAGTGGAGCTGATAAAATGGACAGTGAGTGTAGAAACAAGGAGGTGGTCATAATGTTATGCCTGATCGGTTTACAGTTTACAGTGCAGGACGCTGCCGTTTTCCTGTTGCTATGACAACGAGGCGCGGAGAGTTTTCTAGAAATCAGCTGGTTGACGGTAAACAGTAAACAGCAAACAGAGCCGTCAAAAACATCAGAAACATTAAAAAGTGGACGAAGCTCGCCTCTTTCACCAGCTGGGCGTCTCCGTGCTGGACCTCGTAGATCTGCAGGACTCCGGTTCCTCTCGGAAAGTTACCCAAACACACGAACTTGGCGCTGCAGGGAATCCACCTGCAGTCGAACACGGTGTAGTTCAGACTCTTCTGGATGTGAGCGATAATCTGCGGCTTCTCCAGAGGCGCCGACATGCTGGATACAACGGGATATCCGACAAAAATGAGACCAAACCGCTGAAACCTGCTCTAAATCTCACATCACAGCTCCACTCCGACTGACCGAGCGGGGTCCATCGGCGCAGGGAGAGCCGTTCGCACTGCTGCCTGATCTCTCGCCCACGATATGCGCGAACGTTACTGTTAATTAGGCTTTACGAAGAAACCCTGGTCTGAACACATTTACCAATCCATTACAATATTACTCATATGAGTCAGGCAGGTTTATTGTATATGTTTGCGTTGATGTGGCTGTTTATTCGCACTCTGTCCCTGGCCGGACAAGTGGTGCCGAGTTTGCTGGAGTCGACTCCGACTCGCGACTCCTGCCGCTGGAATCGACTCCTCGACTCGGTTTTAACCAAGACAGCTCCTGAGCCGGTGATCGAGGCAAGTCAAGTCAAGAGGCTTTTGTAGTCATTCCATCCGTGTACAAATACACAGTGGAGTGAAATTACGTTCCTCCAGGAACAACACGGTGCAACATTCCACATAGCAGGATTTCTCAGTTTAGCTAGATAATTTAAACCCAAAGTCAAGCCTGTCCAATAGAAAAAGAGCTAAGGGGCATTCCCATTGGACAGTCCTCTTTGGGCCTAAGTTATCTGGCTAACTAAGAAATCCTGCTTTGTGGAACCCCCCCTGATCGCTTGAGGATCAAAGCCGTTGTAGAGTCTGGCAGTGATGGCACGGATGCTCCGGTACCTTCTGCCAGACGGCAGCAGTGGAAAAAGTCAGTGTGAGTGATGGACGGGATCGTCCACAATGCTGGTGGCAACAGAGATTGAACCATCCTAAATTCAGTTACCATATAGCTACGGATTATATCGATATATGAAGAAAATTCTGTTTATTTCACCAAATGAGGTCTGGAGTGATGACCTGATAAAAACATTAGCTACTATGGTCAGAATTCTTTGAAATGGGACCATTTTCAATTCTGTGAGAAAGAGAAAGTTGGATGTTCTGTTCCTCATGATGCTGAGGTTGGCTTCGCATTCCACTTTTCAGGTCCACCTTAAATGATGCAGCAGTTACTTCAATGAAGCGCAGGCACCAGGATGTAACTGCAGAGCCATTTAAGGTGGAACGGTAATCTGAATAAGATGGCAAATAAGGAGCGAATCTCAGCTTCATCCTCTTTTCCACAACTCTCTGTCAAAAAATTTTGGTTTTTGGTTTTGTTTGTTCCTAATCAGGGTTTATTGCGATTTTTTACACACTGCTCCATCAATTACAGAGAAAAACGAGGAGTCGACTCCAAGCAATTCGACTCTTAGAGTCGTTGGCCGAGAGTCGACCCCGACGCCTGGACGTGCTGGAGTCGAGAACCGATTCTTTTGGATTCGACTCCCTAGATAGCTGTTCGCATTCCTGCCTGATCGCTCGCCCAAGATATGCACTACTGTTATCGAGACTTTAGCCGAGGGAATTTTGGTCTGAACTCATTAACCGGTTCATTACAATATCACTCATATTATCCAGGAGGATTTATTCTATTTTTGCGTTGACACGGCTGTTTACTCGCGCACTAGCTCTGCTCAGACGAGGCTGAGGTCCTCTCAGTATAATGGCCGCGGCCGCATGTAGGAGATAAACAGTCCCGCTGGAGTATTTTGGACGTTTTTCGTTAATTTTGAGTAATTAATCACCCTTTATCTTCACAATGGCCGCTGCCGACAACACCACATCTGAAGTGACCGCTGCTATGGACTGTGAGGGCGGAACGGAGAGTTTCGAGAAAGTAAAATCGAAGAAAAGTCAGAAGCGCAAACGCGCCGCGGCTGAAGCGGAGATGGAGAGTGAAGACGCGGCGGCGCCGAAGAGACCGCAGTTCCCCCCCATATCGGGGGACAGACTCACGGTAACGGACAGTCATGTGTTAAACCGAATATAGTTCACACTTTTAATGCCGTGTAAATTAATGTAACTTCAGCTTTCTGGAGGCGCAGCTGGCTTTAAAGCCCTCCACGTGTCTCTCCGCGCATGCGCGAAACCCAGCTGATTCCCACAGTGAACACGTGAACGTGGCCTTTTTGTCTAATCAATTATACAGTTTAAAGAGGAATTCGTTGATTTTTGCACACATAATTCAGTCTTTGGGATGTAAACAGTGTCATTCAGAGTGGTTTGAGGTGAAATGATTCACTTTAGATGAACTTACTGCTTCAGGATTGTTTACAGTGGTGCTGATAGGAACCAGAAGTCACAATGTCTACAACACGGAGCTCTTCAGACGTCTGGTTCCTACCAACACCACTGTGAACAACTCTGACTCAGTAAGGTTCTTTATCATGAGGGGCTTCTAAGAGTTTAACCCTCGTTTTCACTGTGATGCGCTCCTAACTGCAGTCACTGGTTTTCACTGGTAACAGAGACTGATTTTCATTAATCTGTTTCTCATTAATACTCTGATAGGACTCTAACAGTAGTCGTCGGCTGTCATTCATAGATAAACCAGTGACAGACTGGCTTCTTTTTAGTTTTTCTCTGTTTTCTCTGACAGCGACGACATTTAAGTCGTATTCTCTGTTCATTTTGGTCTTGTTATTGTTTTGCTGCCTGGTGTGGACCAGAGGAGGATGGGTTCCCCTTTTGGGTCTTGGTTCCTCTCAGTGCTTTTTCTTCCTCTGAGGGAGTTTTTCTTGCCCTTGTCTTGTTCAGTGAGGTTTGAGCTCTGTAAAGCTGCTTTGAGACAACAGCTGCTGTTAAAAGCTCTATATAAATAAACTTTGACTTGACTAGAACGGAGCATTTCACATTAAACTACTCTGAATGACGTTTTAACATCTCAGCCATTGACTTATGCAACAAATGTTGAAAAATGAGTAGAATTGACCCTTTAAGTGAGTTTTGGCCCCAGATTTTCACTTAAACATGCTTTTAAGTGACTAAATCTCTTTAGGGTAATGTTTAAGTGGAAAGCGAAAAAAATGTCCATAATTGTAAACGAAGTTTAAGTTGTGCCACTTAAATAAATGATTAAGGTGTTAGTAGGGATGGATGCTCACCTGCTACACATAGTAAATAAGTGAAGTTGCACTGAAAAAAACTTCACCACAGTAGAGGTCATTGATCTTAGGACACTTGGCCAAATAACATCACACTGAGATCTAAACAGAGGTCCATTCCCGACAGATAGAGGAGAAAAAAACACGCATCATTTGTTTTTTCCCCCCCTTTTTTTCTGGAAGCAAAATGTTGAATTAGTATATCAAAATAATGTCTTTTGTATATTGACTAAATGTTGATATTTCTAAATAATGACTTATGTTGACATAGCATATCATAATTATGGCATTTTCCTGATATTTTGAGATACTACATCAAGGCATTGAATATTTGGAGGTTTAATGATTGAGTATCAAATTAGAAAAATTATTTCAGGATGTTAATTTAATATTACAAGATAAGTCATTCTTGACATAGTAAGTCAATATTTTGAGAAAGGAATTCATTATTTTGACATAGTAAGTCAATGTTTCAGCTTCAGTAAAATAAGTGATTTTGACATACAAAGTTAAAAGTTTGAGAAAATAAGTCAGAATAAGTTATTTTGAAATGCTGCTGCCAGAAATGGAAAAGCAGAAAAAACAGGCATTTTTTTCTCCTCTACCTGGCAGATATGAGCTTCCATAAGTAATCGTTCCTGCAAGAACTTTCTTCAGCCTTCAGTTATTCCCTCAGTGTTGGCCGTCTGTCAAGATGTGTTTCTAGCCACATCAGCTAGTTCTTGATGATTTAACTGTGTTTTGGTTTGTTTTTCAGGGAGGTGCTGTCGAAATGAGGAAAATACCCGTTCCTCCCCACCGATACACGCCTCTGAAGGAGAACTGGCTCAAAATATTCACCCCCATTGTTGAGAACCTACAACTTCAAGTCCGATTTAATCTCAAAACAAGAAACGTAGAGATTAAAGTAAGAACAAAGAATCTCAGTAATTAACGTTGTGATAAAGTGCTTTGTTTTGTTCTGAATGCATGTTCATGTTGTAACTCCCTCCTTTACTGTTCCTGTGTTTTTACAGACATGCAAGGAAACACAGGATATTGGTGCTCTGACGAAAGCAGCAGATTTCGTAAAGGCGTTTGTTCTAGGATTTCAAGTCGAGGTGGGTATTTAAACAGTATTGTGCAGGTTAAACAGGGTGATTCAAAAAGATTCATCCGATTTCAAAGTGCCATATTTTTACAACCGTGAGGCGCTGAGGAACCAATCACATACTAATTGAAAGAGGGGGTCATAGAGTTTCTGACTGTCAGTGGAAGATGGCTCCCTTCAGTCTGAGAGGAGATGAGACCCCTGAGCAGAAAGCGTTCTGCGTTCTCCACTTCAATAAGAGTGAATCCGTCATAACTGTGCAGTGTGATTTTCGTGGGCAGTGAAGCTCCAACAGCTCAGAGCGTTCGTAGTTGGTTCCACAACACTGGATGATCTCCGAAATCGCACTGAAAGAGCCGTGAGTGCAGCGACACCCGACATGCTCAATCCAGTATGGGATGAGTTTGACTATGGCGTTGATGTTGTCTGTACAGCTGGAGGAGGTTCATACTGACACCTTGTACAATTACATAATAAACTTTATGCTCATTTAAACCATTTACAGTTCACTGCATTGATCTGTAATGATTTACAAGTGAAATAAATCCTTTTGAAACCGGATGAATCTTTTTGAATCACTCTGTATTTAAAACAGCTCTTGATTATGTAATGTTAGCTGCCCTGTTGGAAGCAGCAGTTTTCTTCATATCAGCACTAACCTTATGAATATCCTACAGGACGCTCTCGCGCTCATCAGATTGGACGAACTGTTCCTGGAAACATTTGATGTCACAGATGGTAAATTTATACCCAGTGTTTTTTCAGAGGAAACGTTATTTTTAATTTGTAAATGTCTCATTATAATGTCTGCATGTATTTTGTTGCAGTTAAACCTCTCAAAGGAGATCACTTGTCTAGAGCTGTTGGTAGAATAGCAGGCAAAGGAGGAAAAACGAAATTCACCATTGAAAATGTCACCAAAACCAGGATTGTCCTTGCAGACACGTGAGTGCAAACGTTTATCTTGAACCTCCACTTATTCACTCTTGATTTTAAGGTGTTTTTTTTGTCAAGACAAATATAAATGACCAATGGTGAACATTATCAGTTTAAAGGGTAAGTATTGTGGAAAACCGAATATTCCTAGTTTTTCTGAAATAAAAGTTTCAACACATACTGCTCACTGTCCAGTCCACACAGTCCATATATGGAAAATATATGGTGCAAAGCTGCAAAAACCTAAAAAAAAAAATCAAAATTGTGATGTCACACAATTTAACCTATTTACGTAAACACACCAATTCAGCACTTCATATAGCAGTTTAGCTCTAACTTACAACTTATATATTATAAGGATTGTTTCAGCCTGGACTACATTCTGAATGAGGGCAGCGAATTAGACCAGAGCTTATTTACATATTTTAAAGGCACAGTAACAAAAAAAAGTCTGAGATGTTTTAAGATTATCTTATTCTAAGATAATTCTAAGAGATAAGAGGATGGAAACGGTCATGTTAAAATGAATTATTACTGTTTTTGCTAAATAAACCCAAACTAACATTGTAACTGGACCTCAAAGGGGGTGTAAGATGGAAGAAAAATTAGGTTGTGGGTCCTTTAACAAAAACATTTGCATAGCATAGACTAAGATTTGTATCTATTCCTTTTATATTTTGCAGGAAAGTTCATATATTGGGATCTTTTCAGAATATAAAAATGGCACGGACAGCGATATGCAACCTCATCTTGGGTAAGTGAAGTAAAAGGTTGATACTTTGGGAGTTTTTCCGCTGCACACTCAAAAACAATAATTTGTCCCAAACATGCATCAAACAGAACTTACAGTTCCAGTTCATTTTCTGCCTACATGACTGGCTGAAACCATCATAAACAGAGATTAACAATCATTTTTAATTTAGTTTATTCTGGCTAATTAGTGGCTTTTCTTGATAAATATAGCTTAACATCTTGACTAATACAAAAAGCTAGAAGCGCTGTGAAATGGAAACTGAAACTAGGGGAGCGATGCCCTGTTAAACAGCAGGAGGCGCACTCACAATGGGCTTCATTCACCAATATCTTCCTACATTTTTTCTTAAATGTGTTCTTGATAAAGGTCCTAAGAAAAAGTCTACGTCAGATTCATGACGTGTTCTTAAAGCGCAGAACTGTTCAGTTCTTTGTGCTCGAGTGTGTGTAGATTCTGTTCTTCTAAGAACAAACCCCAAATAAGAGAACATTCTGTAGAAAACTGTGGCTTTAAAGAAATTTCCTAAGAACGGTTTGAGAATGAGGCCCAATTTTCTTAACTTCTGAGTTGATTGTACTATAATTTTGTTGCTTTTTTAACAACAGTTGTTGTCTAGCTAACATTTTTTCATGTTATTTTTATTACATGATTAAGTTTCAGCTGTGTGCGTATCTCTGGTTGCTTGGTAACAGATATAGCACTTGATTATCAGCCTTGAATAAGTAGTTCAGGGTTTCCCAACTTGAGAAGATGTAAAATAAGCTATAACTCCTAAATAAAGAGGTTTGCTTCTGTAATAGGAGTGAGATGTAACAGGGAGACTTTGTCTTCACCTGGAAAAGTAAAGAATTTGTTAAACTGTTGTTGGCTTCATTAGCAAAAGCAGAAATAGAACATCTTTGAGTGCCATCACGTCCTGTTGATGCCAACCTTGAGCAGCTACCAAAAACCATGAAACTGGAACCTTTTGTCCTGGGCAGACAGCCAACAGTTCCAGTTCTAGTTTTGCTACCAAAGGTTCTGGTATTCGTGCAGTGGAAAAATGGCCTTTGTTTGAGTGTCATGGGTGCTGGAACAAACAGCAGGAACTGGACTGATGTTTCTTTTTGCCCCAACAGGGAGCCCGCCATCAAAGGTGTATGGGAACATTCGGGCGGTTGCCAGTCGTGCAGCTGAGAGATTCTAACGCTGGTTGGAACCATAACGTGCTGAACAGCTCATGGACTGATACAGAAATGTGGCAAATTATAGACTTGCGGGAATACCGGCCTGAAATCGACCGACTGGACTCGTCCAGTCATCTGAAGACTTGTCTTTGATTCGTATGGATCACTTCTCACTAATTGCTATGAACATTCACTCACTGAGTATAATTCAGAAAACATAATAAAAAAATAAACCACATACCACTGGAAATGAGGCAAGTTGTGAATTCAGTAAGAAAGATGGTATTTTAAAGATTTATTCATTTTCATACAGTATCCCACAGTAGGCAATATAATGCAGCATGCACTGTGGACATCCCTCACCCAAAACGGGGTGATTTTCAGATGTCGACTCATGAGTGAAATACCCATTCTGTTAAAGTGGAGTGAAATTAACTTTCTCATATTAAAGATGAGTCTTTTAATCTAAAAAAGAAACCTCCACGCTAATTATACAAGGTATTCTGCTTGAATGAATACGTCTCAAGTCAGTTCAGTGCCACTTTCGCAAAGAACTAATTTTGTTTATTTATTCAAGAATATCATCAGTTACCAGTTAACTAAACTTCGGCAACATTCACGACTCTCAGATCTGTGATATTTAACATCGTAACCTAAGTGTAAACAGTAGGAGTGCTGTAAATCGGAAAACATGCAGAAAGGAAAATGTGCATGCAAGCACTGGAGAAGCTCTGAGGGTTTCAGGACGCAGAGAGTTGCGATTAAAGAAAGATGAAGATGCACAGAAACGGGTAAAGAGGCAAAACCTTATTTTCAGCCAAACTATTTAGTCTCATCATGCCAAAATCTTAACGCTATTAAAGAGGTTACGCAGTTGACTGTTTGGGTGTGTCGTATTTAAATTACAGTGCACAGTTCTTCCAGATGGGGGCATCACGAGTAAAAAATTAAATGTACTGTTAACGATGATAAAATCTCAGACATTATTTAAACGAACAGTGCTGCCTGCAGATAAACTGTCAACATCTATTCAGTACATCTTCCCAACTGATGGGAGAACTGAAACACTCCTAATGAAATAGTGACTTTTAAAAAGACGTTGCCTTAAATAAGACGTTTAACCATATGTAAACCATAAATACAGCTGTTTTCTTGGCATCTGTTTCTACTGGACTGTCTCACTGAGTTAAACAGAAGAGAGTTACTCTGCAATAATATAAACATTTATAAATAAACATTCTATCACAATAAAAAATGCTATTGTGGAACATGATTAAATGCAAGAGACGAACATCTCATATCACAAAATGTAAAATGGAAAAAAACTGTTCACTTGAAAATAAAAACTGCATCAAAACAGAATGCAATTCAAACCAGATTCCCCTAATAATAATAATAATAGGCAGTATTTCTGTCTGGTTTCAAGGTTCTGCTTGGCACATTATAACCTACTTCTGTACTGAGATTTTGATTTTTATTTTCCTCCTTTGAAAGCCGTCTATATACTTGTTTAGAAAAAAAAACAACACAGACAATAAATATTCCAAAAAATTAACCATTACAAAACAAAAATGAACAAGCCAACTCGTCTTCCCGTCTCCGGATAAAGATGCTCTAAGTCGTTCTTCAGTCAGTAAAGTGCTACACCAGGTTATTGAGAGGACTAGAGTTCAATAACACTTACACGTTGGCTTCACCAGGCTCGTGTTAGCAAAAAGGTAGCTTCACAGAGTAAATACTTCCGTTGAAATATAGAGAGCATTTGCTGGATATCTTGAGCAGATCGTCAGAGATGGAAAGGAAAGCGCGTGTTGTGGGGGGGGGGCGGGGGACTGGCTGGACGCTCACACGTCCACTACCATCTTTTTGTGTATGTCGAGACCACCGACAACCTGCAAGAGAACATGAGAAGCTCGTCAACATCCTACCAAAACAGCCGAGGAGCGATTTTCTCTGCAGAATAATCTTCCCCACCTTCCCAAAATAAAAACTCATCACATCTTCAGGTTTAACGTGAACGGCATGCTTATCATTTAAAAACAGTGAATTTTGAAGGGTAGAAGTTTGCGTGTATGTAAGTGTATCAGAGGTCATTTGAAGCAAGGGATGATTTAGGCCCAATCCCATCTTATTTTTACCCCTACCCTTGTTTTCAAGTGTCTCCTTGCCCCTTGGAACTGAGTTACAGGGGTTAGTAATTGAAATCTTCCCTATGAAATGGGACCCTCAAATAAAAAGAGCATCACTTCATTAACAGCTACCAGCGCTGCTCTGTAGGCGACCCTGCCAGTCTGCAGTGACAGCAGAGGAGGGTAAAGTTCAGCTCCTCACTGCTGGGCTTTAGTTACATTTATGGCATCATATGCCTTCAAAGAGGGGGGCAATTATTTATTATCACCCACCCCTAATTCTTCAGTGATATGAAGCTGAAGTCAGATATTCACCAGCTTCTTGTTCAAAATTTCACATTCCATTTAAGGTGGAACAGGAAAATTAGCTAGCTACCGAGACACCAGCAAACTACTAACAATTTGTTATGCTTGCTGTGAAGAAAAGGACCATAATACACTGAAAAGACATTAAACTAAGACAATACATTGGTTATTGTAATTTTTTAACGGAGAAAATTCTCACATTTGTGTGGTTTTTTGGTGGCTTGCGTAGCCATCTTGCTGGTTTTTCTTTTTTTCCTCATAACACTCCATTTGAAGGGTGATGTAGCCTTAACACTTCGCCCTACCCCTCTATCTCAACTAAAATTGGGACACCCTACTCCCAGACGTGAACACGCAGAACGGAGAGCTAACAGCTGAGTGGTAGGGGCGAGGGGTGAAATGAGATTGGGGCTTAGAGTCAGTTAGCACAAGGCTAATTGGAGGGGTATAAGCTTCCTTTCCTTCTTAGCTACATTAGCCTCGTAGCTCCAGTGCAAAACTAAAGAAGCAAATTTCACACATATCCTGTCTTGTCTGTTTGACTGGATGTGTGCTGAGGTAACTCCTCCTCCTTTAATTTTAGCATTAACTTTATTCAAGCCTGGCAGCACAAAACAAGAGACACTTACAGCACAGAACTCTTCAAACGATATTCTCCCATCGCCATCCTTGTCCGCATTGATGATGGTCTTATCTACAATCTGCTGCAGTTGTGTGTCCTTCAAGTTGTTCCCCACCATCATCTTCAACACTTGAAATAGTTCCCCGTTGGAAATATAGCCGTCCTTATCCATATCATAGATCCTGAATGCGACTGGAGACGTTCAGAAAGGGGTTTAGACTCAGAGAGCACCACTAGATTACAGCATGCATGAATAAAGACAGTGCTATTTGTTGGACTCACATCGGAGCTTCTGTTCCTTATCTCCCTTCACGCTGAACTGCGAGACACCTTCGATAAACTCTGTAGGAAGCAAAGCATGAATACAAGCAGTTAAGAAGCACGAGGAACTTCAGACATGAAAGTGGAAGAATCGGTTTACTCATTCATTTGAAAAGAGCTTGCCTTTGGCTCTGGGGTGAATTTAAGTCTGAGAACATTTTATACAGAACATTTTTAAATGGTCAAGTTTAAATAAGGGCTAAGCATTAACAGTAATGAATGTGCTAGAAACTTTTCTGGACAACACTTAGACCCTTTATCTGCTTTATTGTACTGACACCTGTGTCCTCTAAAAAAAAGAGATTAGATAAAGTAGCTGAGAACTCTTTAATATAACAAGTATATATATAGAGTACTATTTTGTGTACAAATGACATGTTTTGTTGATTTTCTAAGTAGAAAATAAACAAATGAAATTGAAAAAAGAGAAGAAGAATGAAATGTGGCCGGTGCAAAAAATTAAGTCCCACTATGTGTAGTATGTTATTTTCCCCCTAATATGATAAACTCAGCAAACAGAAAATGTGCACATTTAAGTGTGTTCTCTGTAGAGGATGTGTTAAACTTATTGTCACTTAGGAAATCAACAAAACATGCACTGTAAATGCAGTGTTGGGGGAAAAAAATGTGATACTGTGCCACCTCTAGCTTTATTTAACACTTGTCCTAAATAGACCAAATCAGAATGTTTGTAAACATAAACATTGGCTGTTCTTCTGGGTGGATAACTCATTCAGTCAGCGGGAAAAGCAGTTCATTTTAAGTGGTAAATACAAACGGAACAGACTAAACCGAAGTACGGTCAATAATGGTACAATTTAGTAGTACTTCAGGCTGTAATGTCCAATGTTTTTGGGGAAAATGGGGTTCACATGCTTTTAAGAAGTGCAAAGGTGTCCCATTTTGTTCCCGTAACTGCTGAGAGAGAGAGAGCGAAAGAGAGAGAGTGTGAATGAAAAAGTCTGTTAAGAAAACAGATTTTTTGTTTTCTGTTTCATTCACCCCACGGCTCCCCCGACTCTCCTTTATATATTTAATTTCAGTTGATCTGCAAATAAATGCCACCGTGCTTTAGTGTGATTTTACTGCAGTGAAAAAGCACGCTTAAGTGACTATTACCTCAGAGCAGTTAGCCCTGGCTTCTGGACTTTTAGGAGTAAAAACATTCCCCTCATCCAGGAGACAGGATCAGAAAGATACCATGTGTAACCAAGACAGTGGTTCAGTTTTCATTTTTTCTCATTTTCCAGTTTTCAAAAGCTGATGGAGCTGCTAAAAGTAATATGAAACCCTGAGAATGACAGTGAATGCATCATTAGATTGGCGCTAACATAACAGCAATTAGCATTATCATAGCAGGTAAAATCATAGCTACTTATAAAAGTTCTTTTTTGCATTAAACACTGCATTAATAATATGTGGCTGGTGCATGCTCACTATTAAATGACAAAAAATTTACCACACATAGTACTGGTAATCGTGGTTATCGGAGTGGCATGATTGGTTTAATGTAACAGCCAACGTGCACCAGAACAGCTTTAGTAAATTAGTACACAGATTTGCCAATATCAACAACAACGACATTAGCATATAGTTTGGTAATAGGCATACACACTATCTGATTATTTTGATGTTTCAACAAGACCAGTAGCCACGTTTACATGCAGCCTGATAATCTGTTAATAATCCGACTGATAGCTCAATCGAAATAGACTCGTCCCATTGAAGCCATTCGGAATACAATTTCTATCTGATTGACTGAGGTGGGTAATCCTGTAAATAATCCGTTAAATAGAAGAATAATATCCGTGTAAACGCCTGTATCTGATTACATTCCCTATCGGAAAGTTTAAGTATGTTCTGATCATGTTCGTCA